ATAATAAGTTAATCATTATTATGCTAAACTTTATAGAAATAATGTTTTAAAGTTTTTAATATACAATTGCTTTTTCCACCCCTTTTTGAAAAAATTTATAGAAAATTTTCTAATTAATATTTTTATATAGTTAAGCAGTTAAAAAAATATTTTTTAGAATATACAACTCCTCAATATCTTCACTAAACTATTTAAACAATAAATATAATTAATTTTATATTTTTGACTGTATTTATACCATTACTATTACTTTTTTACCAATAACTCTTTACAGGTTTTTCTAGCTTTTTACTAAGTGTAGTTTTATTTTCAAGGCTTTACTGTAATTTCACAGGCAAAGAGGCCAAGTAACATTTATTATTATTACTGTTATTTTTGTATAAAGTTTTTAATGTTATTGTTATTAAAAAGTTTATAATAATAATATCATAATATTGTGTACTTTATTTTCTATTAACTATTAACTAATCTATACTTATTACTAATACTATTAACTACGTAGATATATTTGACTTCATTTAGTAGCAATTCTTGTAATTTAAAAACGACCATCAATTAATAACTATTCAAATTTGGCAACTTTTAAACCTTTCCTACCAAATAATTGCTATTGAAACTTTTTAATTAGTATTTTGTCGCAATTTAATTTGAGTCCTCTTTTAAGCGCAACCAATTAAGTTTTTTAGTTTTTAGTTTGTAACCGAGTCAACAGTAATTGTTACGCTTATTATTAAAGCACTACTAAATTATTTAAATTGTAAAAAAGTCGTACTAATATGAAACTCTAATAAAGCGCTTCCAATTTAGTAATATTTAGTTGCAATTTTAAGTGATTGTAGAGTTTTTGTTGGAATGACCATAAGTGGCTATCCGCGGCTGCTTTCTATGCTTATGTGGATTTGGGATTATCAAGGCACTATTATTATTATTATATTATTATTATTACTATTATTGTTAATATTTATAATTATTATTATCGTTAATATAATATGCCTAATATTTTTAAATTTTTAACAAAAATTAATAATTGTAATGATTTATTAGCAGGGCAACTTTTTTAATTTATGAATAAAGTATATTATTTACTTGTATTACATTAAATTTAGCTTTAATAATTCTTTGTTAATTTTTTTGTTCTCTAATAAAAATAGACTAACGCATTCTCTTTTTCTTTTAAAATACTGTTTTATTTATTTTTTATAGTAATACTTATTATTATGACCCCTATTATTATTTTTATACTATATATAAAATTTATATATATTCATATAGTTTTATTATTACTATTATGTTTGATAAATATATTACGTGCAATAACTTATATAAGTCTTTTTTTAAAAAAAATTTAGTAAAAAATAAAATTGAAAATATTTTAATAATATAAACATAATATTCATAATATAAAAAGGGTTAAGTCAAACTTTTTATGTAAATTTTATACTAATTTTTTATTTAAAAATTTAAATAATATTACTAATATATATTATCACGTTTTTATAATTAAAAATTCTAATATTTCTTAGTATTACTTTAATTTATTATTATAACTATTTACTGTTAAATATTATAATTATTTATTTGTTATTATTATTTACTTAATAGTAACACAAAAAAATATTAAATATTATAAAATTTACTTAATAGTGTTATAAAAAAGATTATTATTATTATTATAAGGCTTTCCTTAATAAATTATATTATTTCTTATATTTACTTAATATTATAATAATGGTAATTATAAAAGATTTATTCTTTATATTATTATATACTTAATAGTAATAAGTTTTACTTATAACGATTATCTAATTAATAAAAATATTTAAAGGAAGCTTTACTTTATTATTATTATTTACTGAATAGTAATACCCGAATTTTTATTTTTATTTACTTAAAATTATTTCATATTTTATTATAAATTTTTCTTCATTTTTCCTTAGAAAATATAAAATAATATTATATTTTATTTTTCTATTATTTTTGTAAATAAATAACTTTTTAGAAAGAAGAACTTTTCTTTGGGTCGTTAATATACTGGTTCTTTCCAGTAATATCGAGGCTTTAAGAGGTTTTTTTTATTTATTTTTATTTTTAAGTAATAATAATAATAAATAATAGTAATAACAGATAAGACAATAATAAATTACAATAAAAATAAATAATAATAATAACAAATAATAATATAATTATAAAATAAGCACGTGGTTTTGTTATTTTTATAATTCAAAAAATAGTCATAAAGTTTACACATAACAATTTCTATCAAGTTTCTTTAGAAACTTCTTACTATTGGAGCTCTTTTATTATTCTTATTGGTTATGCATTGGGAGAATTTATTGAAATTTGCCTCAAAAGTTTAGTTATGTACCCTTAAAAAAATAAAAATTGTCTCATTTTTAAAAGATTTATAAACAATTTTTTAGATATTTTTTATATAAAAAAATAATTTAAAAAAAAAATAAATACCAACTAAATTTTGTTTTAAACTTTACACTATAATTTCTGTAGTAAATGTAAATAAAATCTACCCTCTAGCAGCTATTTCTAGCTATTTTAACTTACTATAATTGGTTTATATAAAAACCTGTATGAAGAAAGGAAGTTTGTCTTAGAAGAATCCGAGACAGCCACTAACAATTTTACTCTGTTTAAATATATCTTAAATAAATGCCCTTAAAAAAAAATATCTTTTTAAAGAGTATACATTTTACTAACGAAAAAAAAAAACTTCATAAAAAAAGTAGTTAGTCATCCACTTAATTATTTACAAATAATAAAAAAGTAACAACTATGAACTTCTTTATAGGGAAGAACGAATATATAATTAACAAACAAACTACTAAAGAGATAAAATAGCTTAGAAAGTGGATTATAATAAAGTACATTAGTAACAGATTTGACTAAATAAAACTACTTTATACTACGTTAAAATTTTTCTAAAAGATGCTACAAAGTACTAATCATAGATTACCATTTACTATATAAAGTTATTAAGTAAAATAAAGTAGCTAAACTAAACAAACAGAAAGATCTAAAAGATGCTACAAAGCACTAATTTTACTATTATCTATTATTTAAAGTTATAAATTTATATAGAGTAGCTAAACTAGAGAAACAGAAAGCTTCTATAAGAAGCTACAAAGTACTAATTATACTAACTTTATTTTGCTAAGAGTTACAAACTTATAAAAAGTAGCTATACTAGAAAAACAGAACTCTTATTTAAAGGATAAAAGCTACCATGTACTACTTCAAATATACTTAAAGATGCTACGAAGCACAAATTATATTACCATTTATTATTAAAGGCTTCTAAAAAGATGCTTCAAAGTATAAGCACTTATCCCTTAACCCTAACCCTATATAAATTTACATATATATTCATATAGTAGCTAAACTAGAAAAACAGAACGCCACTAAAAAGAACCGAAGCTGGCATGCACCACGCCCAACAGTTCGCGGCGTTAACTTTTTAAGTAAAAATTTAGAGAAACTTAAATCTTTTTTTTCCTTAGCAATAGAAGAAATATTTTAGGGCAATTAAATTATAATTCTTACAAAACGCACAGTGCAAGTTTTGCTCTTTTCTTAATAAAGTTTAACTTTATTAAAACTACAGAAACCTTAAACTATTTTTACGTTGCAATTTATCGGCTTCCACTAGACATCTATTAAGATTTAGAAAATTTCCTTTGTATGTGTAATTTCTTTTTAAGTCTTTTTTAGGTTGAATATATATTTTGGAGCAACCTTAACTCTCTAACGCTAAGCGGTATTGCGATGTAAGTTTTTGCTACTACATCATTGCTAACCGAATTCATTCTTAGACGCAAAACTAATAAGCGCTCTAACGTTCTTCCACTACAATAGTCTACTATTTCTTTATTATATCATCCTTTAAAAAAATATCAAAATAAGGGGATTTTTTAAGCTAATTATATTTAAGGGAATGTAGTTATAATTTCAGAATCTTTGCCTAAAAAGTTCCAGCGTCGCTAGGATTAAATAGACTTTTTTAGAATCATAACAGGAAAAAAAACTTTGAAATGTTTTAATATTAAAGATCTCTACTTTAAAAATTATAAAGCGTTACCGTTCACACTAGATTTTTACTAAGAATCAAATTTAGAAAACTCGTTTTCGATCTTATTTTTAAAATTTTCACTAAACGTACACTTTATCTACTTGCTTGTGATGCTTTTATGTTAAAAAAAAAGATTTCTTTTTAAAGATGGTTAAGAGCAACATCGCTAGAGGTTTCTAACTGTAAGGAAATTAAGCTATTCCCGAAGTAGTATTTGTTACTTCGCGAAAATCTCATGAACTTGAGCTTTTTCGCAGTAAAGGGATTAAAAAGAAAACTGGTTATCTCAGAGGTAGTGAATGTTACTTTTGACACCGCATTTACATGTTTATGTAAAAGAAAATCATTTGTAGAGCTTTCCTGCAGTAAAGGTTAGGCAATAGTATAAACAAGATTTTCTAACAAACGGACTAAAACAATTAAAGCCGTACAAATAGATCAGTTGACTGTCTGCGCTAAAAAGATAACTAAGGTATACTAAAAAGTAAGTAAAAACATGATCTCGAGCTTCTTTTCTAAAACTTGTGCAAAATAAAAATAAAACTTAATTAATAAAATATGAGTTATAGATAAACGACTGTCTTAATGATACAGATTAATTAATAACCCAGTGTTACTATATTAAAACAGCTTTCTAAATGTTGAAATTGAACAAGTCATATATAATCAATGATAACCCATAAATATGCAAATTTAATTCTAAAAAAACTTTAAAGTTTTACATAAGACGTTTTCTTAGGAAAATACAAGGTAAGCAAAAATGATTAGCAGCACGTGGAATAAAGGCTCCAGACATTTGTTTACTTTTGTCAAATGCATACATGGGCAACACTTAAGTGGTAGCTTACACACATAATTGCGACTAATTTAAGAGCCGGAAAAGAAAATTTAAAAACTCAACTATGGGTTAATTTTTTGTTTATTTAACAAGCGATTGGCCAATACGAACTTTGTCGCCAGGAGCTACAAGAAATTTAAAACTTTGGGGCATTTCAAATATTAAAACGATGCAAGATCCAAATTTAAATAATCCAATTTCTTCTCCCTTAGGAACCAATAAGGGACTAGTAGGCACCAAAAAGATTATTAAGTGCGTGAGGTATTAATAATAAAGAGTAAAAAATTATTTAAAATATTTAAAATATTTAAAATAATGAAAAAATATTCTAATATATAACAAACATTAGAAAAAAGTTAAAAAAATAATATGAATATTCTCTCAACATGGAATCTTTAAAAGTTAAAAAAAATACATAAAAATGTAAAAGATATATATTATAAAGTATATTTCCTTGGCATGCCTTTAATAATAAAAAAATTTCTTAAAGTAAATAACAAATAATTTAAAAATAATAATAATAATTAAAATAATAAAAAATAATTGTACAAAAAAAATATAATTTATTGTAGAGTAAAAACTATAATTATTGTCCAATTATAATAAAACTACTCTTATAATAAAAACTGTAAAAATTGTTTTTAGGACAATAATAATAAAATAATGATGATATTATTAGAATAATAAGAATTATAATTATTATATATTTTAAAAACTTGAAATAATCATTATAATAATTACTATTAAAAGCGCTTAAATTTTATCATATAAAAAATTTCTTTTATATAATAATATAAAGAAGTTTACTAGAATTAGACTATTAATATACTATAAGACTTTGTAAAGAATAAAAATTGATATAAAATTACTATTTTGTACCAAACTTCAATAGTAATATTACTATTACTATAACTGATATGCTTATACTCATATGCATAAATAATATTAATCAAGAATAAATATATTAAGCAAATAATAAAATATTATTGATGAAACTAAATTTTATATATAATATATTATTATTAAAATAATATCATAAGAAATATAAATATTATAAGAATATTTATATAAAAAATATACTAATATCATTTAAAATATAATATATAGACAATCTAATAAATAGTAACTATTAATATATTAAAAAGTACTTAAAATTTAATATACTTTTAACAATAATAATATTAATACAAATAATTTTAAAATTTGTACAAAATTTATTTTCTAAACTACAAAAGTATATAATTTAATCAAAAGTAATAAAAAATAAAAATTATTAATTAATAGTATATTTTTTAATTATTAATAAATTAAAATTATTATTAAACTGTAGAAACATTTATTTATATTATTATCTAATAATGATATAATTTTTTTGAATAATATACTTATATGTTTAATACAATTATAATCTACAGTACGCGAAATATTTTTTAAAAGTTTTTTTTTAAAAATGTGATATAATGTACAACTGAATATATTATAATAATAATAATAAAGAATATTTAGATTATCAACTTTTATAGTAAAACATTATCATTATTATTTTATTATTAATAAAAAAATAACAAAGTTTCACCGTAAAAAAACTTTTCAAAAGTTTTTTTAAAAGCGCTTAAGACACTTAAATGGGACCCATTTTAAAATAAGTAAAACTCGTTACTCTCTACGTGTTACAATTATTCTTGTCGACCAATAAAAAATAAGATTAACAGTTGTTAAAGCAGATAATTGGTTGTTGATTAACAATGGTTTTAGTCTGACTTTTAATAAAAAGTTCATAATTATACTACCAAAATAATATTGACCGGGCACTTAAGACATTCAATTTATAAATTTCAATGACATTGTTACAATAAAAAATTTGTTTTTCTCGAAAAACTGCACTTTCTGTATGCACTCATCATTGCTAACTAAGAAAAGTTTAAAATAAAGTATCCATTTTCTACCAAAACCACGAGGGAGGCCCAAAAACGGGTCTAAATAATTGTTAGGAAAATAAAGCAGTACTACAGAACCCTGAAGTTACGAAAAAGCATAATATTAACCACATTTCTTTCTTCTAACATATTTATTACTATAAAAATTATAAATAACAAATTTCGGTTATCAGTTATATTTCATTTTATCATAATAATTTTATTACATTGTTATTATTACTATTTTTAGTGAATAACAAAAAGTTATTCATAAAAAAATTAAATATATATTGTTCCTTAATACAAGTTATTTTTATTATTATTTACTCATACTGACTGTCTTTTCTACATGTGCTGCTTACTTATGTAATGATAAAAACTCTTATTATATTTCCTATATAAACTAACTATGATTAAAGTAAAGTTTTACTTTAAAAAAAAATATAATTTTATGAATTTTAATAAAAAATTTTTTTTTTAAGAATAATAAAACTATAAATAAAGAAAATTTATTCTCAAAAGTTATTTTTAAAATATAAGTGAATAGCAAATAATTTATATATTTTTTAGTAAGAAAAAAAAAACTAAAAAATATATAACTTCGCTGCACCAGTTTTCTAAAAAAAAAATATTACTTTCCGATAATAACGTTAATATCAGTAGAAAAAAGGGCCAATCAAGGTAGATTAAAAAAATTAGTGACGCGGAAAAATAAAGAAAGAAAAGGAAATTTAGACTAAAAAAAGCTAAAAAACTTAATGATCGGCAGAATTTTTAATAAAACTATAAAATATTCAACTATTAAAAAAAAAGGTAAATACCAATAATAAAAAGAAATATATAAATACTTACATTCTGCATTAATAATACATAAAAGTATACTAAAAAAAATTATTATAAACAAAACATATTAAAAATAAATAGAAAAAACTATACATAAAGTATATTAATAATAATTATAATTTATATTTTATTTATTACAAAATGTTAAAATATTGGTAAAAGAAAAAAAGTATACTAAAAATTATTAAAATAAAATAAAAATACTTAATAAAAAATTATACATAAAGTATAATAATAATCACCTATTTTGTATTTTATTCATTACAGAGTTAAAATATTGATAATAAAACAGAAATGTTACAACTATTTAATATTTATAAAAAAAATAAAGTAGAGTAAAAGAGAAAATAAAAATTTATAATTCAAGTATTGTATTATAAAATCAAGAAATATTAATGGAACATAAAAAAGGCATAAATGTTATATAAAAGTTTATAATATTAACTCTGAAAAGTGTTTAAACTTTCGTTCCCGCAATTTACTATCTTTTTTACAATTGGTGGACAGCTCCTATGCGAATTTTATTGGATAAAAAGTTATATAAAAATCACTAAAAAAATTACCGAATCGAAATAGAAACAAATGGACCCGACATTAAAAGCGCCAATGGCAATAAAGCTAAAAAAGCCGTTGATCCACGTGCCACTCAGAGCCACTCGCTGTGTAAATAATAATGATTCAAGTAAGTTATGTAATATGTTAATAAATAGTAATAATAAACTATAAACTATACACTTTTGTTAAAAAATAATAACTTTTTTAAAAAATATACCTCGTTATAGTTAAAAAGGCCCTCAATAACATGCGTTAAGGGCGGAGCAACTGATAGCAAATCCCCTTGAAGTATAAATTTTTATAAATATTATTGTATATATTTAGTTTATTATTAAATATATTTTATTATAATATTATTTTACTAATTATCAAAAGTATTTTTATTTATAAAAGTGTTTCGTTTTTTAGTTTATAATTATATGATACGGTTTATTACCAACTAAATTTATTATAATATTACTTATTATTGTAACTATTATTCATTTAAATTATAAAAGAAATATTTCGTATAATAGTTTATAATTAATTCGTAGAGAGATATATTATTAATATATTTACTTTAATATTAAATATTCTTTATTATAATAATATTATTTATTCTTATAAGTATTTTTATTTCTTAGTATAATAATGAAATTTCCTATACTTAGTTATTAATAAATATATTTTAACATAAATAAATATTAGAAAGGTTCAATACTTGTTTTGTATATAATTATTAATATTATTATTACCAGGGAAATGCACGCGTTTCCGAATGTTCCAATTGGTGGGCGAATGAAATCGATGACAATCGCTCGGGGACAAATAAATTGTTATCTGTTGCAAGCTATAGCCCTCTCTGCCAAAAAAAATTAAAATATATTAAATTATAATTTGTTTATTCATATTTAAAATACAAAATTAAAATTTATATTTTAAACTAAAGTAAAAAGCTTTTTTTTTACCTAAAAAATATTCTGACTTCTCAAGTTTTTATTAAACAAAAAATTGATAACTTAAAGTTATAAAAATACTTCCAAAAGTTAACATTTTTCAATTTTTGTAAAAATTATAAAATTAAAAGCTATTTATATATAGTAATATTTTTAATAAGTTAGCAGAAGTTATTTATTAAATAATTATCCCTTCCGATAAATTAAATAGCCTTATAAATTTTAAAAAGTCAAAGTCTCAGGAAGTTTACTAACTGACCTTGGAATAGGAACTTCGCCCAGAAATCTTTCAATACTATATGAAATCCCCTAAAAAAGTTGTGATAACTTTGTACAGCCACATTTTTATTAAAAAAATTATCTAAGTATTTTAAGTATTCTTTTGTAAAAAAAGTTATTTATTAAAATTTTAAAAGAAATGGCTCGTAATTTTAATATTTTTGATATTATTACAGTTATTTTTATTTTAAAAGAAAACAAAACAAAGTTTTTAAATTTGTTTAGGGTTTTTTGTTGCTCGTTGCCTGTCTTTCTTGTACATATAGATTATTATTTAAAAAAAAATTAATTAAATTACACTTCGAGATTTTAAGTTTTTCTTTAGTTTTAATAAATCTAAAACAAACAAAATTTTGGCCATAAAAAAAAGTTCTCGATTTCTATAAAAGGTCTGACAATTTTAAATTATATATAAAATAAAATCTGCACGCTTATATAAAATAAGTTCCTTGGAAATTTTTTTTTTTAACATTTTATATATATGCGAAACCTAAAGGAAAAATAAATCCATCCGCAGAAAAGCCTCGTATGTATTACTCCAAACTTTCATTTTACTATTTGAATGTTTTAAAAAACTATTGATAAAATTTTATGTGCATAGCGAAAACTGCTTGATAAGTCTTCTTTCCGTGCACATTAACATTAAAAGTAAAATAACTATAAACTACTAAGAGATTAATACTTATACAAGAGGTTTATGCGGACTGTAACACCCTATGAATATATAAATTACTTAAAAAAAGCGTTCATCTTTGGCGTGCTAAAAAATTTTCTTGAAGGCAAAGGCAGTGGAACGGGGCAATATTACATTATATACTTTCATCATAGTAAACCAAAACTATAATTAATATTTTAGATAAGTTGTACTTTATATTAAGCCCTATAATTTTCTTAGTGAGCTAAATTGATTTTATAATACTATCCCTATATGAAAATATCTTAATTATGAAACTAAAAAGTTATAAGAAACTTTTAAAAATTTTATTAACTTCATATAAAATTACTTATAATTTTTTTACCTAAATCACTCTTTATAAATTAATTTTAATAATACTATTCCTATATAAAAATATCTGAATTGTAAAACTAAAAAATTATTAGAAACTTTTAAAGATATCAACTTCATATACAATTATAGTTTTCTTCAGCTAAATCATTCTCTTTAGGTAATGAATTGCATATATAAAAAAAAAAATTGAAACTGAATTTCTTTTACTTTTATTATTTAATTAAATCTTATAGCCCTTGTAAGTGTATCTACTAACATTACGTATATACCATATCTGTAATAAGCAAATAAAAAAACGAAATATTAGAAAAACTTGTTTGTAGTAAAATAAGAAGATCGAATCTCTTAATTCTAACTTTTTTAAAGGTATAATTTATTTTAACGCTCTCCATTTTCCAAAATTAAATAAAAATCAAGTTAAATTAAAAGTTTTTCTTAGCAGTTACTGCTACTCTTATATAATTATGGGCCTTCAAGCACTCTTTAATACCAACTTTTTAAATTAATTTGAAAAAATCTTACTCTTTTGTAAAATCTGAACTTTTTAACTATTTTACAAATTTAAATTTAATAAATTTTTTTTTAAAAGTTACTAAATTATTTTACAATTCTTATTTTACTATAAAATCTTAACTTCCTAAATCTTTTATTATTTTTAAAATTATTGAATATTCAAACTTCGTTGATAAATGATTCTGTGTTTAACTTTATAATAATTTTTCCTTCTAGTAATAAACTAAGCTATTATATACTTATAATAAGCCAAGTATTTAAAAGAAAATGTCTTACCTTGCCAATAAATTTAATCTTCAATATATCATGCTTTCTTAATTAAAATTAAACAAATCAAGATGAGGTTAATAAACCATTGTCAAGGTCTTACTTTACTATACAAATATCCTTTACTTATAATAAGTTTAGCTTTTATACGCTTGAAATTAAACAAATTTTCATAAAAACGTTATTTTATTCCTACTAGAAATAACTTAAGGTTTTATTTTACTATAATGAAACATTATTTCTAAGTGAAGTTAATAAATTATCCCCATGTCTGGCTTTATTATAAAAACAGTTTTTCTTACAACAATCAATAAACTTTGATATTCATAAATAAGCAAATTTTTAATACGAAGTTTACAGATTATTCTACAAGTCTTACACAGGTAAATTATATTAACCCACTAATAAGAAATTAAGCTTTCATTTATTAAATAATAAGAAATTTTCAAGATAAATTTAAAGAATTAATCTACAAATCTTTACTAAATTCCTTCTTATAGAAAATAAATTTTCCTGAGGTGGTGTAAATTATTTATTCTAAATGTCTTTACTAAAAACCCTTAACATTCTAGTAATAAATTACGTCATGTTGAAGCCCAATAATTATTCTACATGTAAAAAAATCTTTTTCTCCCTATAAATAATAATATTTCAAGATGGAATAAATTATATATCCTGGAAGTCTTACTTTACTAGAAAACCTAAACCTCCTAGTAATAAATCACGCCTTTATGTCATAAACATAATGAAATTTCAAAATAGAGTTAATGAATTATTCTACATCCTTTGCTAAAAAAATCTTTTCCTTCTTAGAAATAATATTCATATTCTTATAATTGAAACATTTTCAAGATGGAGTTATTAAATTTTCTTCAAGCCTAATTTTATTATAAATTTTAACTTTCTAAGTTTTTATAAAATTAATATTTTATTCATGTCTTACTTTACCATAAAATCTTTTGCTTTCAGTAATAATAAGCTTTAGTACTTTTATAATAAAAAAATTATAAAATTGGAATTAATAGATTGTGGCTTTTTTGTGTAAATTAAATAAACGACCTCTAAAATTAGTCCGCCACTACTAATCTCTATAAATCTTTCATAAAATACACTAATAATTAAAAACTTGTAAAGATTTGAACCTTCAAAAACTCTTTAATTTACTTTATAAGTATTTCTGGGATGAACAAATATTTTATTAAAAAAAGGAGAAATATATAAAACTTTTATAATTTCCTATAAAAAATAACTAATAGTTATATTTTTTTTAGGTTATAAATTTTAAATTTATAATAAACAAAAAATTTATTCTAATTTTTTAAAAAACTTGGAGAAGTATAGAGCTTAATATTTTTTTTATTTACTCGAAATTAAATTAAAAAATATAATTACAGTTTTTTTTAATCTTCTGAGATTATAAAAAAAATACAAAATAAAACTTAAAAAAACTTTTATTATTAAATTTAAAACATTTTTATAAAATAAATTCAAATTTATAGAAAGTTTGATATATAAATTTATAGTGACAAGTAGAAAAAAATATATAATATATAGAAATATAATAATTTTTTTATAACTTAAAAGTGTTATATATTTATAAAAAAGTGAAAGGCTCTAATATTTCTGAGGCGCAACTTTTCAAACAAAGTATAATGAAATTAAAAATTTTTAAAAAAAAATTTTTCATTTTTCTTATAATTTTGTATCAATTTTAAAATTTGCCTATTTTATAATTTTTATTTTTATTTTTATTAATTCTAATTATAAAAAATAAGCAAAAAGGTATAAAAAAAAAAATTTCTATAAATAAACAGAAATAGAATAAAATTGCTTAATATATATTAATAGAGAACTCAAAAACACAGACAAAAACTAAAAAAGATAAACAAAAATAATGAATTTTATAAATTTATATATATTAATAATAATTAAGTAAAGGCTCTTCAATAAAAAAGTTATTAAATAAGTTTATTAATACGAATAAAAAAATTATATATAACTTAAAACTATTAAAAAAAATTTATAAAATTTGTAAATCGAAAAAACCTTAACAGCCTCCACTCTTCCGTTTGGAACAGGACCCAAATACAGAACTCGTCCATCCGCTGGACTGGTCTTTATATATATTAACAAAAAATTTAAGATTAAAAAAAATTAATTTAAATTTAAAAATTTTAGTTGAGCAACCTCAAAAAAAATTTATAAAAGCGATTATCAATTATGTTTTATAATAATAATAACAATAAATAAAAAGAAAAATAATAAACGATTATCATTTATTTATCAATAATAATAATAAATAAAAAGAAATTATTAAAAAAAACTATTATTGCTGGATAAATAATGATAAACATAAATAAAAAGCATACGATTAATAATAATTAATTAATTAAAAAAAATACAATTATTGTATCTTCTATTAGTCTGGCCAAATAATAGTAATAAATATAAGATAATAGATAAAAACCTAAAATTATAGCATCTACAGTTGAGCTAACTAAATAATAATAACAAACATATAAAAAGCACTCATTTATAGCATCTTCTATTGGTCTACCAAATATAAATAATCGAAAAATAATAATAAAGAAAAAAAGAAAAGCATACAATTTAGAGCAACACCTATTGGACTAGTCAAATAATAATCACAATAATAATAAAAGAAAAGGCACACAATTATAGAATCTTCAATTGGTCTAGCCAAGGGAGAAAGTTGGCGGGTAAAAAAATCGTTTAGACTTTTATAATCCTTAAAATTCTGGCGCTGCGCTTCTTGCATGTTGCAGTTAAAAAGCCAGCAATAGGCTCCAATAATCTAATAATTATATGAAAATGCTATACGTTATTAATAATTTATTATTAATAATATTATTTTTTCTATTTAGTATATTATTCAGAAAAATTTACTATTATTTTTTAGTATTACCAACTATTTAAATATTATAAATGTTATTTAACCGATATATTTATTATGAATATATGAAACTGTTTTATTAGTATTATTTAAAAAATATTATATTCTCTAATTGTATTATTTAATAATGTCAAGTATTTTCTTAAAAGTAAAAAAATAATATATTTTTACTATTTATTATATAATATTTCATATTTCATTATTAGTATTAACTAATAAAAATATATAATATGTATTCTTTACTATATATTATATTATATATTAATGAACTTAAATAAGTTAATAAAATTTTATATTAACTTTATGAAAAATATTAATATATTTATTTCTATTTATAAAAATCTATAAAAAATTAATTTATAAGTTCGTCCGAAAAGACTTTCATATGACTATTTTTACTTAAACAAAAGAATAATAAAGCTACGGAAAAATAGTTTATTTTAGTTATAAGAAAAATATTGTATAGTAAAATGAAAACAGTTCTGAGTTTTCTGTATATAAAATTATATATTACATAATAAATAATGCACAACAGAAAAAAAATAAAAGTATTCATAAATAAAAAAGTTTAACATTATAATTTATTATATAATAAATATTATATAAAAAAAAAATAAAAAAGTTTTTATATATATAAATATTTATAATTTTTAAATTAAAAATAAAAGTTTTTATACATGAAAAAGTTATTAATAAATATATAAAAATTAGTATATTATATAACTAAATATTGCATATTAAGAAAATAAATTATTAAAGTTCTTATATAAAAAAAGTATAAATATAATATATTAATAAATAAAATTAAAGAATTATATAATAAATATTGAATAGTAGAAAAATTAAAAATAAAAGTTATTATATAAAAAAAAGTATTAATATTACTATTTATAATAAAAAACAATTTATTAAAAAATATTTTTTTTATCGGAAAAAAATAAATAACCAGAGTTCTTATATATAAAAAAGTATAAAGAATATAATTTATAAAAATAAAAAATTGTTTATTATATAACATTGTATAATAGAAAAAAAAAGTTTTGTGTACAATAAAAATATAAAATAAATTAATCATAAAATAAGTTTATTATATTATAAATATTGTAGAGTAAAAAAAAATAAAAAAATAAAAACTTTATATAAAATATTAATATAATTCATTAATATGAAAATAATAAAAACTAAAAAATAAAAGTTTTTTTTTATATTTTAAGTTATTATTAATAAATTATTTTTTTAATTAAAAAATTTATTTTCTTTTTATAAAATTTTTATAATTAATGTTCATATTTCCTTATTATTTTTTTATTAATATATTTTTTGTATATTATTATAATTCTTATTATTTCCATAGTGAAGTAAAAAAAAGAAAAAGTTAAATATATAACTTTATACTAAAGTGTTGCCAAAAATAGTTAAACTTAAACAATAACAAAAATTAAAATTTCAAATTATAAAATCGTAAAATAATTTAATTTCTAAAAACAATTATATTTTAACTAAATAAATTTAAAGAGGAATGAAAAGTTATATAAAATAACAAAATAACAAAATCAATTTAAGAAATTGTAGTAACTCCAAATTAAATATTAATATTATTTAAAAAGTTTAACAAATAATTTAAAAAAAACTAAATGTCATAAAAATTAAGTAAAATGTAAATTTTCCATTTTTATTATTTAATTATGATGATAACTTAAAATTTATTTAAGTTCATGTAAATTTCTGTTACGTGTCTTATAAAAAAGTTTAGAGATTTTTTTTTGTAAATTAAAAAATCAACTAAAAATATAAGCCTAAAAAAAATTATAAAATTTAAATAAAAATATTAATTAAATAGAAATCAACTTTTAATCGAAAAAAAAAAATTGAAATTAATTTAATAAATCAAACTTATTTATATTATAAAATAACCCAAATACGAATAACAATTGCACTTTTCTATAAAGTCTATAATATTAATGATAATAATAATAATAAGTTATAAAGATCACAATTAAAAATATATAAATTTAACAGGCTTTCTAAGAAATGCAGGTAACTCGTAATCGTGGATTCTCCCCCATAAGGAGGAAAGAACTCTTGTTGGAAACTTCTTTAATAGTAAAATCTATAAAAAATTATTATAACAATAATAGTATTAACATAAATATTTTCTTTATAATAAGATAATAATATTTAATTATAATAAAAAAATAATTCAATAAAAGTAAAATTAACAACTGACAAACATATAGGGGTGTGCGTATAAGTAAATATATATAAACTTTATAACATATGAATTAATAAGAAATAAATAACAATATAATAACAAACTATAAATTAAAAATTAAAACAAAATCTCTCTTAATAATTTAATAAACAAACAAAAGGGTTAGATGTAACAATTAATTTTATAAGACCGATAATTAAATAAAAAAAGAAAAAATTTATAATACAATTAAAATGGAATAATTATTAAAGAAAAAAATAAATAATTTTCCACCTGCCAATCTTTTAAAACATGCGAATGAGGAGGAAATCGGTCGTGGTCAGCTTTTCTTTCTTCTTTTAATGAATAATATTCATGCCTTACGCACCAAATCTTTTATCCAAAAAAATTAACAAAAACGCTGAAATTTAGTATTAATAATAGAACAGAAGTGTTATACAAATGCAGTGAGAGCGGCTATAGAAAAGAAAGAAAATTTATATAAAGTTTTCCTCGAATAATTAGCCAATTTTAGCTTCTGAACGGAATAACTTTGAAAAACTAAAGCGTTTAATCATTATAATTAACAAATTGTTAATTATATAAATAGTGAAAAAATATTAAGCATAATAAAAAAAATTATTAAATACAATTATTTATACGCCACAAATTTTTATAATTAAACAACACAGAAATATTAAACAACATATAACATAGTACTATATAATAAAAAATTATTATTTATTATAGCATATTTTTTATGTCTATTTAAATTATTATAATAAATTAATGATTATTTTTTATATAACTCTTTTTGAACTTTTTAATAAAATATTTTTATTATTTATATTTTTATATATTTTGCCAGTCAGTTAAGTAAATGGTCAAACTTCATTAACTTTTTCAAAAACAATACATTTATTATAAGGATACAAACGGGGCCTTTTCGACGAGAAGAAAAATGTTAGTATTTTAAAGGATAACATATTTAATATAAAAGAAGACGGAAAACTAAAAAAATGTTTGCTTTGCAAAAGGGTCTAAGCTGAATTAAATATACCATCGCCTAGCAATGCGGCACTGCATAGGACAACCACGGCTGCATGAAGAAAAAGTAGAGCACGTGGAGGCTCACCAAGTCGTTCTTTTCAGATGCTTGTATATGTATACCTTCTAAACGCACGTGCGTCTTCAGAAAAATATAGCCCAATACGGCTATTTTGTGGGGCTGTTATGCATATGGATGCATTTAAGATTGGTAATATTTTTGCTTAAATGATGCATCTCTTATCTCATTTTTTTTATCCGAGTGAAAGCGTATAGCACGAAAGAAAATCTGGTTCTGCCTCTATTCTATTCCCACCTCCTCGGCTTAGGTGCTATAGTTAATTTATACAGGCGCCCCGAGAGCAAGAATTTACTAGAGAAAGAAACATTGCTTGCCATCAAGAGTGATTTCTATTGGTTATCATAAATAAATGATGTGGGTCAGCCCATTTAATAAAACCTCTTATCTTCCTTCCGCCCATGTCTCTCTCACCTTCTGTTTACTGTTGCTTTTTTATTTATTTCTTAAGTTTTCTTAAATCAGCCTTAACTGGGCGGTGCGATTTCTAAAATCTAATCACCTAGAAAGCAGGTCCGAGACTCCGACATTCGCTTTTTAGATTCAACGTGCTACCGTATCCTTGCTCGTTTTAATTAGTCGAATAATAAATTTATAAATTACAAAGTATAAGAGCCTTAAAAAGTAAATTGCTTTTCTTCTACCCAGTTAAAGCATTAATTTTAATATCTTAAAGTCTCCAAGTAGCTAATGAATCTAGGTTAAACAAGAAAACAGTCTTCTCCCCCTTTGTTTTTTACTACAAAAATTAACACTATTCACGCATCACATACAGAATAGAAATAAATGTTTGTAAGAGAAGCATATGCTAACAGCAATAGCTGATAAAGGTTAAGTGGATAAAGTCTATCTAAATTGTATTATTTAGCAAGTAATACTGAATTTCTAGATTTTGTTTATAAAAATTGTATTGCCACTATTTAGGTAAACTTCTTCATAAGTTTTGTATTAGATCTAAACTTTGTGAATTTTGAATAATTGTTAAACCTTGTAGTTAATTATAATTGTTATATTATGTTTTTTGTCAAAGACCGCAGTGTTAAAATGGATTAGGCCCTTTACATATTTGCATCTTTACTTATGCTCACGCTGACTTCTTTTTTTTACCCTAACAGGTGGTATAAATTTAACCTAAGCGACCCATAAGAGGTACAAAACAAAACACCCTATTAAAGGTGGTTCAGCGGATGACACGCTCACCCTGCGAACCAAACTAAAAGGATCTTCTTGGCCCTTGAGAGGGGCTTCACATAAATTTTACCAAGCTTATTTAATTTTAGTTTTGCAGGGGCCTCCATCTGGTATCGTAAGTTTATAACTCGATGCCAATACCCATCCTAACTGCCAAGTTAATTAATTCAATATCATTAGTGCGTTATATTGAAATTAATTATCAAGAATGTTTACTAGCATGTGAATGTATATTAACACTAATTTTACAGTTAAGCTGTCGGCCTTTTGCTTCCTGTTGCTGGCCTTTTGTTCCTTGTTCCTTTTAGAAGCCGTTAGTCGGTTTATAAAGTCTGCATACCTCCAGTTTGCTAGGTCAAGCTATTATACTTTTAACATTCATTTATTGACAAGAACTATTTATGACCTGATTTTCCCACCCAAACGTGAATGACAAGCACACACGTTACGTTGACCAGCCTTTACGAACGCGTGCCCAAACCAAAAATTTTAATAAGATAAAGTTATGTTTTTCCTCGTAGGCATCGTAGTAGGCAACATATCCCGTAGGGACAGGTTATGTTTCCTACTCGAACCAGGGGACTATTAAACTACTTTCGTGTTGAATAGTCATCGTAAAGAGGGAAAACATAACTTTTATTCCTTTTTTTATTCTACTTTGGTAGAATGATCTAATTAGCATTTAAAGGGTGTTATTTAGTTTTGTTCTACTAAAGTGGAACTTTTTCATTAGCCTTGAGAGATTAACATGATTATTATTTGTCAACCTGCAGTCTCGGCCTGCGGTTACAATGGTTGGTGCTAAAGCTTACCTGTGTCATTGTCGACTAAGGTATCATGATCTAAATGCTTACTGTTGTATAATTAACACTACTGAATGTAAACTGTTTTAGGGCTAAACTGTTAACTTTTTGAAGATTAAAGCTCCGTTAAATTCATGCATTTTATTTTCGAAAGTTAAATTTTATTTATAGCCTAAACTAAAAAGCATCTAAAATAGCTTACGCAATAAGAAAATCCAATTTAACCCCATAAAATAAAAGAAAATACAATTTAATAAAGCAAAATGAAGGAAATCTAAGACTCTCTATGACGAATCGCTTCCTTGTGACGTTCGGCTAATGTAACCTTATTAAACAAAGGAATGATTACCAAACTGTAACTTCACGATTAGGCTTGAGCCATAATTTAATTGGCTAACTTGGCTAATACTTCCTAAAATGACTAAGGAAAATAGTTAAGATTAAAGAATGTACTCTATCTCCTACAGCTAAAGGTTACATATACAAATGACCAAAATCCTAACGATTTTAGGTCAGTTTATCGAATTGTCTCTGGAATAATGCCACTTAACTTACTTTACTAACAAGTGTTGGCGCTTTTAAACCTAACCCCTACCTAAATTTAAGTGCATCTAACTAAATGCAAAACCTAAACTTATTTACTAGTAAAAACTACATATTTATTAGTTTTTATGCATTAATTCATTTTTAACTAGTAAGTAGCATCTAATTTAATAATTAACATTACCGGGTATCGATACTATTATAACTAAAAAGGTAGTTTTGGCTAATTATGTGCTGCCTTATTGAACTAACTCTATGACTACACGCGTCAGTAGACCTGTATCAGGTACGCTACTATTATCATTTTACCATTTTTAGGCAGGAAGGTACCTTAATCCTAACTTGTTAATAATTATAACAAGTAAAAATACTAACCTTCTCATTATCATAAAGGTATCAGAACCACGATCTAAAGCTTCGATTTAAACATTATCTATTTTAGTGCTTTAACCTTGTGCTAATCCTAAAATTTACTATCCTTTTTCTTAAATTTAATTTCTATAGGTAGAGGTACTATTTTAGACCTTTGACGAGTCATTTTTGATGTATAAGGTGCTGGAACGCATCGAATAAGATAAGAGGCTCGTTCTCCTGTCTCTTTGTTTGCGGCTGTCCCTGCATGCAACTTTAACCTTTTAAACCTTTTAAACCTTACCCTTTGTGCTGGGACTCGTAAGCAACTTTTGTTAACGCTGCAACCACAGCGAGGTTGACTAGAGTTATCCTTTAAAGACCCTTTTCAGGCAGGTGTCTAGGTTGGTGCTATTAATGGTAGCGTTAGGCGCCTGAATCTCATGTGCCTTGGACTATTAAGTCGAACCTTTTGATCCTTCCTCATGGCAATGTACATTCTTAAGGAAGGAACGGTTGCTTTTAGTCGCCAGGGTCATCGTCGTATAAGTGCTTGCAGCAGACAAGCCTATATATAAAATTAGCGTCGGCCGACGTATTATTCCGTGCGGTTTCCAGGTTTTCGATCTAGGGATGACAAACGAGTCCCATCCAAAGATGGGTTAATATCTTAAAGTAGACTACTGTTGTATCGGGTCGCGTCACTCTCTACGATAGATAAAGGTCTTAGGTAACTCTTTGTCTACTACAGCTAAAACACGGGTTATTGTAATGATTGAACCATCTGAATATTGTGACTATGACTATAGTACCTTCCTGTGCAATATTAGGGTTGAGAGTTTGGCATTACTTTGTAGAGTCGCAGGTTGCTTCACGCTTCGTATCGAAAGATACACTCTTAAATATGGTAAAAATGCGTCTGCTTAATAAAGTCTTTAGGCAGGTGAAATCTTCCCTGTAAACCTTAGGACAAACATGATGGTCAGAAACATACCTTGTGCCTGGTGTCTTTATATTCCTTACCGATAGTGTCTCTTGGTTTAACGTTTGACTTTATAGCTTAAACATAACAGAAACAACACAAACAGATAACCACTGTTTAACTTGGTTATGAATGCCTCGCTTTAAGTACTAGCATTGCCTGCCAGAGCAGTTTTAAATCTATTACGCCGAGGCAGAGCAGGGAATCCCTTGGTGAAATCTTGGGTGGGGTCATACTAAGTTTTATATAAAACTACATGTCGTTTGAGGTCCGCTGAAAACCACGCTTGAAAGATCTATATAATGGGTAAAGTTTAGCTAAAACTACTGCAAATCTATTGCTAACATGACAATTGCACACACTGTTGCATCAAAATTTTATCATGACTTAAGTCTGTTGTGTTATTGGGAAATCGCACGTTTGGTTGGTCTTTTGTGCCGTTCGAATCGTAGCGGATTCTTAGAATAGTGTTAGTTACTAATACTATATATATTCCAGCCATCCCACAAGATTATTACGGTAAAGAGTAAACCAATGAAACTTGAGTCATTCAGTTATTGTTAACACATTTTTAACTGAGAGTCTTACTATAATTACGCATAGTAACAAACTAGTCTTTAAAATTTAATCTTACAGCACGGATTAAAAATTTGAATAATTAAGGGTAACTATTTATTGTTTATTAGGTACCTTTTCAAATCAATTGCACTAATATGTATAGTATAAATTTTTTTTTTTAGTATGCGCAGAGTGGAGGATTCCCTCCTTCTAGATGAGGGGCTCATAATAGGGGAGGCCCGACTGCCAGTGGTGCTGGCCGGTGACTCCAAGTGGCTTCGGATCTTGTTCAAAGAGTGCCTCTCCCTATGGTGATTTCCGCGGTTTTCCACCACACGCACCCGATATTTTTCCGCTTTTTTCCACTCCTTTGGGAAAAACATTATAGCTCTTTAAAAAGCGTACACTGGTAGGTACTCGTGCCCTAACCCCTTCAAAAAATGGGGAATTCAGGTTAAGCGAAGGTCGTAAGACCAGCCGTAGTAAGCCTGTGCCTAAAAAAAAAAAAAGTAGTTTAGAGAATAACTAAGTAAATACTTAGTTTACTGGTTGTACTAAATATTTTTTTAAGCAAGCCTTGACTAAATGCTCCTTAAAACCGAAGTCTTATCTACAAAAATATATGTATTTGAGTTTTTTATTAAAAGCTGCGTACAAATAGCCAAAACCACCATTACAACTCAAACAGTAAAAAAAGATGCTATCGCCATTTACTTCGTAGTGTGATAGTTTTAAACTTTAAAGCGAAATTTAATGTTTAAAAACTTTGCTCCTGCAACATGTGATGCTTTACAGGTAAAGTAAATAAATTGCCTGCACCCATTTGTTTATACAATGAGAGACGCACGTTTTTTGATTACATCGTTAGTACTATATACTCAATAAACTTTGAAACAGTCATAAGAACACCTTAAAAAAGTAATTAAAAGCACTCACAAGCACGAAATAAAGATAATTTTATATGTAGACACCTGAATAAAAAAATCTTCATCAAACCCAGAAGATGTAAGATCAAAACACGCTCTTTTTAGTAGGAATACAAATAATTACTTTTTATGAAAAGAGAAAAGGGAAATTGCGATATGCTAACGATATTATAATATTAGGGTATATCTATTGTTTGTTATAATATGGAGAGAGGTCTAATAAATAATGAACTTATATATATAGTAAATTTTATTTATACGGTTCCAACCTTCTCAGGAGCAAGTATAAGGCATTGTTTTGTAATTTCAACTGAGATACGGTAAAACTAACTATGAATAATTATGTAACTTTTATCAGCTTTAAAATTTTATAGTGGTCTAAGATATCTAAAGACACTCTCTAACGCACAGCGAAAGAGCAAACTTTTTTGGAGCATCAAGCAAAAGCTGTACCCATTAAGTATTTGACCGACCATGACAGACTAGTCCATACCACTCGTCGGTAAGACTCTTTTCGCTGACAACGGAACAAAACTGACATCCTGAAATTAACGAAGTGTCCTAACATTCTATGCTCTTAGTATATCAAATGTTTCGGAAATGAGAGAAAATAATATAAACACGAAATTTTTTTTTAAATAAAATCACCTCAATTTTTTTGGTTAAAAACAAACAGCTGCGAACCGTGCCGAATGCATGGTGATGTACAGTTGGGCAAGTCGTTTTCTGGCAGAAAGGAATTTATTAAATGATACTCTATGTAGAGCAAATTAAAATACATGCATTTCTTGAAAGTAGAAAGAAGCTATAAAGTAATCCATCTAATAGATTTAACACTAATCGAGTAGAACATGCATTTCATAACTAATATTTGTAGATATAGTATTTAATTGGATAAAGAAATCTTTACTAAAATTTATCTTAATAAATATTGAGAATTTAATAAAGAAGCCCGAAGGAAATTTTGTCTATTTACAGACTTTTCTCTTTTTTATATCCTTTGCTTATTGTCTTATTACTAATCTTTTTTTTAATTTGTTTTATTTATTCATACTTTATATTTTTATTTCTTTTTATATTATCAAAAAATTATAAAATTAATTGTGAAGCAATGCACTTACCTGCCATGCGCGGAGGTCGCGCTGTCCGCGTGTATGTAAAAAATATTAGCCCGAAGAAAACTCAAAGCTTTTAAGAAAGGCTGTCCCTTTTGAAAAGCGTTTAATATAAAAATTTTATTTATTCAAATGTTATTAATAAATAAATAAAAAGGCATATTCTGACTATTTCTTGTTTAAAATAATTGAGGGGTATTTAATTTTTTGTGTAATGTCTATTGTTTGGTCAGATGTTGTGCGAAATGTTATTGAAACTGCTGAAGCGCCTTTTTTAAATGTAAGAGTAAGAATATATATTTAAATCTAATTAATCAAGAGCTTTTTTTAAATTCACGTTACTCTCCTTATACCTGTAACCCGGAAATTTACAAGGTTTGTGTTTAAAAGTATTTACAAAGTTGTGTTTTTGTTATTTAAATTTTTAATATTGAAGAGTTTTACTCCGTTGATAATTGAGAAGGTCAATGTTAGGTTAATAAGTCATAACTTGCGCCAAAAAAATTTGATATATAACGAAAGCTATAACTCTTGTAGTAATAATAACAACAAAAACAGTAATATTAATAATAATAGTAACCTTAATATAGTTAATAATAAAAGAAAGTTTAGAAGCAAGAAAAGTGGAAAAAAAAATAAATTGGAAAATTTAAATTTTGGTGAGGTAATAACTATTTACAAACTTGTACAATTGTGTTATTTCAACTTTTTTCTTCACGTGTTTTTCTTGCAGATTGAACGCGAAGATTTGCACTTAGAAATTGTAAATTTACTTCAAGTTGCATACGAACATATTAAAGTAGCTATCAATAAAAATAAAAGTAGCTCTACTGAGCATTGTAGAAACTTTTGTTGTGGGCACTTTGAAAAATTTAACGTTTCTACCAGCACGGACTACACCGAATTCGGTCGTATAGCTCGAGCATTCCCACAGGAAGTTGGAAGTTTATATTTACAAAACAAACAAAAAATTAACAGCTACGACATATTTAATAATATAATTTTTAACACTGAAGGTTTCCTTTCTTCACTCCAGTAGTTACTACTTTTTTTATTATGTATTTTGATGTTGTAACAAAGTTTTTTCAATAGGATTAATATAATATTTGTAAGCAAATAATATTTGGTGTTGCAAATTTTCTTTGTAATTTTAAATTCGACCAAGTTAAAACTACAGTATCAAGAATTTTCATAATTATTAGTTTTATTAACTTTTTGATTTTTAGGCTTATAAAAACGTTAGAGCTCCTTTACAACGTATTATAACTGAATTAATAAAAACTTTAAAATATATAAAAGAGATATACTACTTCCGTTAAAACATAGTGCCGCTTTATTTTTATACTATTATTAATTTTTAAATATTTTATAATAATTAAATTATTTTACTTATGAAATTTTAAACTTATTAATTACTACAAAAAAGCTTTATTATAAATATTATACCTATATTAACAGAAAAAACACTTACAGTGTTTGCATTCGGCACGAGTTATATAATTCCGCCTCATTCTTCTTTTTATATGTCCTCTTTTCAGGATATAGGCAACTTAATGAAAGGTACAATTCATATTGATAATTTTTAAAATAAATTTGTTTGACTAATTTTTATTTAATTAATAACTTTAATATGACTTATTTTTGTATGCTACTTGAATTTTGTTTAACTTTATTGCAGGACTGATTATTTAGCTTTAGTATAAAATACTCTTTATATAAGTTTGACTCTGTATGTGATCACTTTATTCTTCTACAGCAAAGATTTTTAAAGATCTTGGGTGAACTTAAGAAGAATTTTACATACATTATATAAGTTACCGTTTTATAATGAAATAATTTAACCCGCTGGCTCTATTATTATAGTATTTATTTTAAAGGTTTAATATGAAATAAAAATTTTATGCACTTCAACTAGTTTTATTGTAGAAAAGTTTGTTTAATTTTTTTTTTTAAATTTTTAAGCTCACTTAAATTTTTTTTTAGTAAAGCCAGAAAAAGGTTTCTCTATTATTGTTGTTGACCCTCCTTGGGACAATAAAAGCGTAAAAAGAGGGAAAAAGTATTTTTATTTTTTACTTGTCCAGCATTATTAGCAAGTTTATTCATGTAAGAAAAACTTTATTTTGTAAGATTTCACTATTAAAAGAATATAGAAGTGTAGTATTGTTAGTAGTCCTATTAATTTAATTTTCTTAAGTTTAGTTTAATTTTACCTAGATTTTATGTTTATTATTTTTATTTTCCACTCTATTTTTTTGTATCTATTTCTTTAATGATAAACGCTAATCCTTACACTGTTTTATATAAATAAGGTTTTTTTAATTTAAGCAAAAATTATTTACTCTTTTTATAAAATTATAAACAGATATAACTCTTTACCTCCGCGCAAGTTACTAAAAACACCAGTAAGATCGTTGCTCAGCGAAGACGGCTTTGTGGCGGTCTGGTGTACTAATAAAGTAAAGTTCCAAAAGTTTATAAAACAGGAACTCTTTCCCCATTGGAGAATTAATTATGTGGGCGTTTGGTATTGGCTGAAGGTATATAAGCAACGTTTAGAGCAGATTTGAAAGTATTTAAGTAATTTTTTCGTATATTTTCCTTTAAAAAAGTTTAAAGAATGTGGCCATTTGGTGACTTCGCTCGATTCTCTCCATCGGAAGCCATATGAGCCTGTTTTTATTGGTTCTCGGAAACCAGTTCTTACTATATATTTTTTTATATTTACAATTTTACCTTCAACAATTTATTTTACTTTTCATATATTTACAAGCTCAAGACATTATTATCATTAACCTTTTACTTGTAATTTAAGTTTAAAAACACGAGTATAAATAAAGTTTATGATTTGATAGAATACTTTTAAATTTTTTCTATATTAACACTTAACTTTGTATAATTTTTTTATTAATTTAAGTTTAATAACCTTAAAGGTTAACTTCTTTTACTTTTTTTTTAATTTGACTTTTATAATAATTTCAATTCTGAAAATAGTTTAAACTTCCCTATGAAGTAGTATTTGGGAGCATACCAAGTCGCATTCACTCTCAGAAGCCTTCCCTTGAGGGTATACCCTTTTTTTATTTTTCTAAAAAGTCGTTATCACTTATTTTAGAGATGTTGGTCTCTCACGCGCGTAAAGTTTATTTGTTGGCTCATCTTTATATAAAATAATTTTTAAAATAAAGCAAAAAAAGCTTAATTTGTTATTATATTACGTTAACCTTTAAAAACCTTTTTTATTCTCTCTGTAGAGTTATTAGAGCTTCACTTATCACCAAAAAACTGCCTCACTTCTATTACTCCTGTAAGTAAGCTAGAATTGTTTTCTAGAAATTTGCTGCCGGGTTGGGCAAGTTGGGGAAACGAAGTTATTAAATTTAACGAATTTAATAAAGATTTGTATATAACTTAATTGTTTGTAATGTAAAATAAATTACAAGTTTAATTAGTTTTTAAATATTCTTATTATAGTTGTTAAACTTAAAGCCTCTATTTTTACAGGTATAGTTTTTCCAAATTTAAAGGTTCGAAAACTATTTTTATAATAATATTTGGAATTAATATAGTTTTTAAATGATATAAAAGGATTGTCGAAGCTTATAAGGAAGCTAAATATAATAGCTTTCTAGCCGCCTTAGAAGCACAACCGCCCAGTAAATCACTCTAAAATGAAAAATAGAGCCGACGCAGGCCACCGTCGGGCGTATAACTCTCACGTGGTCCATAGCGTATACACAAGCTAAAAGAAATCTGAGCAGGGCTAACTTATATCCTAACGGCAAAGGTAGGCCTAATATAAAATAATTCTTTAAATAAAATATCTAAGTTTTAAAATTTCAAGTTATATATAAAACCGGAAAAAAAAAGGCAAGGTTACAGATTTCAAACTTCAGTTTTAATTACGCTTTCAAATAGATTACATCTTAAAAAATATTTATAATTTTAAAGGTTATAGATTTATGTTTTCATTTCCAACCTTTAAACGCACCACTAAGCAAGCAGATTGTTAAATATCTCTAGATTTTTAGTAAAATTACGCTTTATTGTGGTAAGAGCTCTACATCCTAGCATTTTTGAGTTATGATTTATTATAAACTTTTAATATAAACAATTTCAACGCTTCTTTATTATAAAATTGAACTAATACTTTAAAAAGGTATAAAAATTTTTAAGGCGGGAAGCATCTATATTTATAATAACCAAAAAGCCATGTATTGAATATTCTTAAGTGTTCGTTGCAACTATCCATTATGGTTGAATGAATTTCTTTTTAAGCCTTTTTGCCGGCTTAACCTTTTTCAAAAATTTTTTTAAAGAAACTTAAACTGAGTAATGGGCAATAGAGGGTAACAACTAAAGGAGTTTATCTTCACTTCTTTCCAAAGCTTTTGACTTAGGTCGTTAAAGCAAACATAGCGTTTCAAAAAGTAAAAAAAAAACATAGAACAAGCAGCATTTATCTTGGTGTGACAGAAAAAGCAAAACTACCTAAACCAAACGCACAACTTTAAAGCTAAAACGCTTACAATTTGAACGTTCTCCCATCCGTTTTATAGTGAAGTTGAGTCCTTTAAAAAAAGTTAAGTTAATAACAAAGTCCTCAGAAGATTTGATTTTAAAAATTTGATTTTCCGCGATTTCTAATGGAAAACTTAACTAATTAATATGACGAACTGGGAACATAAAAAAACTACTCTTACTAAAAAATGGAAGTCATTAGTGAAAATGGTTAAGATAGGTAGCAGACTGTGCTGATAATAGTTTAAAGCAGGGCAGTTTATAAAATTTAATCCAGTCAGCTTAAACCTTTCCGTCCTACTAAGTTATCCAATCAAAGTAATTTATTTAAACATTTAGGTTATGCCCAATCGCACTAATACACTATTTAAAATTTTTAACATCCAAAAAAAACCACTTTATTAAAAAGAGTATGTTTACTATATAAATTTAAGGGCTGCAAAAACCTGTATATAGAGAACAAGCAGGAAATCTGCTTGTTTTCGAGTTGTATTGACTTTACTAGTACGACTCCTAAACTTTGCTGTGACTGTAGCAGGTAAGACCACATTTTATATAGTTGTTAACTGTGGCGGCTGCATAGGTTGGGCTCGCAATGGGAGCGCTAGAACGTGTTTTGTCAAGGGCCTCGGACTGTTGGGTCGGAACTGTGATCCTTCGTAAAGTTTAGTACATTCTTCATGCAAGCAAGGTTGACGACTTTCAGACTTAATTTTGACCCTAGATGCATGTCGTAAAGCGTTGGAAAAAGATCGGCCCCTTTCTATACGCGACTGTTACGTTAGTTATTCCTTGCGTCTCCTGGTACGTGTTTGACACAGAATGAAGACAAGGGGTTGCCACCACAGATGGATTAGCATTTATGTGTAAAGGATCTAAAGGATCTAAACCTCGATAGTGTCTAGTAACCCCTCTAGGGTATTTGGGCCCTTTGAGCTTAAGCGAAGAGTAGAGTACCCGAACCTCAGTGGAATACTTACAAAACGATCATCATGATTATGGGTGCCCTGCTCTGGGAAGGTGAACTGAGGTATTCTTGCTGCTGTAGAGAGACGAAGGCTTTGTACTAACACGCCGAAAGACGGGCTCTTAAAAATGGTAAAAACTGCGTAACAGATAAATCTTGAAGCAGGTTCTATCTTACCTGTATTAGATGGCCCTTTGCTATTGTCTCGAGCCTATACTATTCTGTTCAGTTAGGGTACTACCTTCGACGGTACGAGCTTTGTACAAAATATTCAGTCTAATGACTTATAAGATAGCCTTTTCTTGACGCTCTCGCGACGTATACTAGTGTTGACTTCATGAGGTAATCTTCTGTGAATGTCAACTAAAGTAGTGTGCTACCTTTTTATGTTCACTTTTAGCATAATTATGGAACACATATAAGTTGTATAGATACTTCTGCTTGTAGCGTCACTAACTGCGTGTGAAGACCTTTGCGTATGATAAGTCTATACAATGAGCAACATAATAGCACTGTCCCAAGTCCATGGGACATAGGCCTCTTCAGAATAATATCTTAACTAACTATTTTGAATGATGACTGGTTATTAGTGTTAGTACTATACTAAGATGATTTTTGGGATTGTCGCTTCTATACTATTCGCACTATTAGCTTGTTCTGGCCAGCTTTGGGCTGGGAGCACTGTCTTGTGCGGTTGCTCTTCGGTTCGGGCTTGGTTTGACCTCTGATTAATGGCGCTAGTTCCTAGAATATAGATAGAATAAGGCCGGCGAGCCTTAAATACTCCCCTTATAATAAAACATTTTTTAAAGAGTGCCTTATTTTGTGAGCTCAAGGTATTTTCCTTACTGGTACTTGGTTATAAAAAAGTTGCAAATTCTGCTTAAATATTTGTTATAATAAATCAGTTGTAGTGTTTAACCCTCGGGGACTAAATGTTATACATGTATACGGAATGGCACGCGCATAACTTTCTTTTTTTTTATCATAAAATTGTTGTTTTCGTTTTTGGTGTGGCGCTTTCCAGGAGACTTTAAATTTGTTATATAAATTATAACTGTATTTTTAAGTTTTTAATAACTCTATAATATAGTACCGTAATGTTTAAAATATGCTTTATACTATATTATATAACTTATAGTTAACAAAATATATTAGTTTTAGGGCTTAAGACTAGTAAAATCAACACAGTGAGAATTTGATGCGATAGCCAATAAAAACTGATACTTTTAATAAAAACTCTACCCCAGGAACTATTTCTTTAAAAAATAAAAAGGTAGTTATGAAAGAGATCACTAAAATAATATTTTTCTGTATAATATTTTTAAAACCATAAGTTTTATTAAAAAGTTTTAGCATAATTATAATTTTAATTTATCTTTATTATTTTCATTAAATATAATAGTAAAGACTTCATATATTTATTATCATAATAAACCAGCATGGTTTAATAATGTAAATAATAGTTCAACCATTACTTTTTATATATATAAAAAAAAGATAAAAAAAGATGCATGCGCTTTACTTTAAAATATAATATCAGCCATTAGACCAGCCCATACGCCTTCAAACGAGAATCATCCACAATATTTTTATTGACTTTTTCATATTTTCTGTCGGTCGAAAAAATTTTCTTCTTCTTTTTATTATTGTTGTTATTATTACTATTATTATTATATCTATTATCATAACTGATATTATCAGTTTTAATTCGTTTACTTTTACTTGCATGTTTATTATGATAGCTACTCTCACTATTATTACTATTATTTTTATTATATAAAGAAGTTAAAATTTTTTGTTTATTCCGTTGGGATAATTTACGATATTTTTTTTTATCATAGAGCTCGTCTTGCCTATATTTAATAAAAGAATAAATAATAATAATAATAATAATAATAATAGCGAACTCGCTTCGGTATTTAGTCATTTTTTTTAGAGAAACCCAACGATTCAACTCTGAATCATCAGCAAACAATATTTCCTCAGGAGTCAATCCTAAAAGAAAATAAAACTAAATATCAAGAAAATAGTACGTTTTATATAAAAATAAAAATATTAAAAGACTTTTTCGTTATAAAACTTAAAGACTCAATAATATAAAAGAGTATTTATATTTTTCAAAAAACTGCTAAATAAATAAACTTATATCAAATTAATAAACCCCAAAAATACCAAAATCATTAGGTATAACTTTTCTGTATCGAAATCTTACGGGTAAATCGTCAATCTAGCGAGCAAATTGGGATCAAAAAAGCATATTTTTGGTAAGGTAAAAGGAAAAAGCTACCAAATCTTCGAAATCCAAAGCGTAATAGTCATCAAGAATTTCGTCAACTTTTACATGTTTAGAAACAGCGACTTTCTTTAGAAGAGTAGAAAATTTTTGTTGGTCTTTCCTGCTTCTTTTGTGATCTTCGATAAACATAAAATAGAAATGATAATAACTAATATATATATAAGTACACGTAATAATGCAAAAATAATAACTAATTTAGATATAATTACACATAAAACTGTAGAAAAGAAGGATAATAATAATAACTAATTTAGGTATAATTACAAATATTATAAAAACGATATATAAAATAACTACAAATAAGTAAAAAAAATAATAATAACTAATTAATATATCATTATTATAGTATATATATAAATATTAGTATAAATAAAAACATTAACAACAATAATAAATAAATATATTTAATATAATAAAATTTAAAATATTATAGTAAATAGTAATAATAGAAATAAGAAAACTTTTCAATAATTAATATAATATTAATAAAGTCGGTATAATATATTATATTATTAATATATAATAAGTCCATAACTAGTAAAAAATATAAATTATAAAGTAAATAATTAAAATAACATAAAAAGTTTTAAAACAATAAAAGTAATAATAAAACTTGTTGCTTCTGAAAAGTCTTGACTTTGTTTCTCATGGTTGCCAGCATCCGTCTCTATAAAGTCTATAAAACATTTTTTACTTATAATTCTTTAAGTTTTACATTTAACATTTTCTTTATATTAAATATTTTAAAAGCAGTTCAGTAAAAAATAAAGCCTTGCAAAAAATTTCATTTACTTTAAATCTTTAAGATTTATATTAAAAATTATAGTTATATTATATGTTAAAAAATAATTCACTTACTTATCAATCTTTTAGTTTTCTTTAGAAACATTTTAACAACAACACAGTAATAATAAATAAAGCATTAAAAAATATTTCATTTACTTAAAATTCTTTAAGTTTCATAGTCTTTATATTTACTTTAATAGCAGTTCAGGGTATATTAAATACGGATATAAATATATGTATATATATATTATCAACCCGCATCCATATTAAAATCATAATCATCGCCTTCATAGTATTCACTATTTTTATAACTAAAATCATCATCAGTATTTTTTTTCCTTACAGTCTTTTTCTTAACTATTAGATTATTTTTATTAGGTTCTTTTTTATGTTCATTATAAAAATAATATTAGTACCATTTTCTTGTAAAATGTTTGGAGAAGTGTTTTCTTCAGCTTCGACTTCATTTAAGTATTGAAGTTCCTCATCTTCTACGACAGGTTTGGTCTAGAACATTTATAATAATAATAATAAAAATAGTAAGTAAATATATTAACTTCTTCTACGGCTTCATAAAAGTTTTCATCAAATACAAGTGACATCGCCTACAAAAAACAAATATAATAAGTAAATATTATAATTACTTCTAAAAATAATCAATAATATTAATAATAAATTTAGCATGTGCTTTCTATAAAGCAAAGTAAAGTGCAGCACTACTGCCACGGTTAACTAATTTTGCCTTTTTATTCTTATTCGGCTACTTTTGACTTGTTAAACGATAAGCAGTTAACCACATGAAATGTTAATTCAGGAAATAATAGTTGAAGTTACCATAAGCACAAGCCAATCAAAACTTTATAATCATAATAAAAGAAAAGAAAACACCCCATTGGCCGCTACATACCATTTTCTCTATAATACAATTCACGATAAATTATCAGACCTTCAAATTGTTCAAAATTTATATGCTACCCAAAAAATTTGTTGCAACCACAAAAACTTATCCTAAAACACGTGCTTTAAAAACAAAAAAGGATTGGATAATAATATTAGTATAATAGAGCCTACTTTTTCGTGTTCTTCTTCGTTCCATTCATCATCGCTTACATTTAGTTTTTCCAGACCCTCTAAATTTTTGTAAATGATAATAATAAAATAAAAATTATTATAAACATAAAATGCCTTTAGAAACTCCCGTTATTTCTTGTATTTCTTTTAGTTTTTCTATAATTTCTTGCCGTTTCAACGCTTTCAGTCTTTTAAGTTCTTCCTATTATAATAAGAAAAGTGACAATAATAATAAATATAATAGTAAAGATATAAATAAACTTGTTTTTCGCGTTTTTTAGCAGCTTTTCTTTCTTTTCTTTGTTGTCTTACGAGTTTTCTCTTTTCCTTTTTGTTCTCTTTTCTTACAGAATCGGGGATAGACCGTCCAAAATGCACAAGTTCAGCGGAATTGCTATAATTTTTATTATTATATACATTTACTAATTATTATTTTAATTAAAAAAAGAAGTCCTATTAAAAAAACAATTTATTAGAAGTTATAATTCTATATAATGTTTAGATTAATATTTACAGTATTTACTTTTATTATATTAAGAAATATTACCAGTACTATTTTAGAGTATCTTATATATAAAAATTATTAATAATATTGCTTTTTTATAATAATAAATATTACATTTCTTTATTAATAGTAGTAATATTAAGTTCAATTATGATAATAAATATTAAAATAATTATAAATTATAGCATATTCATATATTCATTATAATTATTCAAAAATTTATACCACTTTCTATAATTATTTTAATAATTAGTATTAGTATAAATTATCGTTATTGATATGATTTCTTGCTTTAGTTACCATATATATTAGCATTACAAGACTGTATATTTATTTATTATTATTAGTACATTTATCATTATTTAGTACTTCCTTCAAGTATAATAATAATAAAACTTAAAGCAGTATTTATTTACTATTATTGTTTCATTCTTTAGTTTTAGTATTAAAAATAAATATTAGTATAGATTATAATATTTAATTTATTATTATTACTTGACTATTAATATTACTTAGTTTTATTATTATAATAAATATTAGTATTATATATTTATATATTATTGTTATTGATTACTGAAGTATATTTATTAATTATTAGTATTACTTAACTATTTATATTATTTACTATTATTATCATAATAAATATTAGTACGCTATATTTATTTATTATTATTATTTACTTATAGTATATTAACTTAACTATTAATATTATTTAAGTTTACTATTTATATTTCATTATTAATATTTACTTATATATATTATTTATCATTTCTACTACTTGACTATTATCATTATTACTTTTATTATTTAAAAAAAATTTTAGTATATAAATTTATTTGTTATTATCATTTACTTATAAAAAATAATATATATTATTATAAAATAGTGTATTTTTATATTAATTTATTATATTTTTATAGATAAAGTATATTTATTTATAATTATTATATTATTATTAGTATTAGTATAAGTATTATTACTCCTCTTCAAAGCGAAAGTTGTGTTTCCGTTCAAAGTCGTCCGTTTTTTCTAACCATTCTTCATCTTTTTCTTTATATAATCATTTTTATTAGGGTTTAATAAGAATAATAATATAATAGTAATAATAAAAAACCACCAAACTCCTCTAAAAGTTCGTCGTGCTTTAAAGTATTAGTAGTATCGATCCAGCCTTTATTTAATACATAACTAAAAAGTAATAATAAAAATAAAATAAAAAAATACTATATGAATAATAAAAGTAAAAAAATCTTATAAATAATTATAAGAGGAAACAAAAAAGTAAAAAAGAAAAGTATAATAATAATAATACGAAATATGAATAAATATAATACAATTATTATAAAAATAAAAATAAGGCTTTTATTAGATATAAATATCGGATAAAGTTATAATTAGGAATAAAAATAATAATTATAAATGAAAAAATTACAAATATTAAAAATAACAGCAAATAAAATAGTAATTATAATAAAAATAATGTGAAGAATAGTAAATGAGAACTATTGAAATAGAAGTTATTAATATATAAAAATTATAATTAATAAGAAATAATAGTAATAAATAATTATTATAATAGAAGTTATCTATATAAAAAACGAATAAGAATGAAAGTAATAATAAAAATAAATAATTGATATAATAAAAGTTAGAAATTTATAAAACAAATAGTATAAGTAATAATAATATATAAATATAATAATAGAAGTTATTAATATATTAAACTAATAGTAATAAAGTTATTAATAATAAAATAAAAAAAAATATTTTAATGAAAGTTATAAATATATAAAACTAGCAGTTATAGAAAGTAATAACAATAATAACATAATTATTATAATTAAAGTTATTAATACATAAAACTAAGAATTATTATAATAGAAGTTGTATATGTATAATAATAATAATAATAATAATAATAATAATAATAATAATAACTCTCTCAAAAACTTTTCATTTTCATCCAAATTTGGATCCTGCCAATAGCGTTTCAGAGTTATCAACTCGGACACAGCACGTGAATTTTCCTATAAGAGAATTTTAATAATGATAAAAAATATAAGTATCCATAAATAAAAATAATATAAAAAATCTATTAAACAATAAAAATATTAAAAAATTTAGAATTATTTAGAATCAAATTAAATTAGTTAAGTTAAATTACTTTTTTAATAGGATTTATAATGATCGTGTTTATTATTATCTTATTTTTTAAGTATTATTATTATTACAATTTCATAATGAATTTAGCCTTTAATAAAAAAATAATTTAATAGAATACTAAAGTTTTCTGATCTTTCAGCCAAGCAAGATAGTCTTCAGTATCTTTTTCTTCTTCTTCTTTGGTTTTCTTTTTGATCTCAAAAAGATCTTCACAAGTATCTTCAGTAAAACTCTTTAAATAAAAAAGTAATAATAAGTATAAAAAAATTAAATGTTCAAAATTAATTTTAAATAAAAAAATTAAATTTAATTAAAAAATAAATTCAGTTTAAAAATTATATAATTAAGTTTAATAATTCATTAAATAATAATACAATTATAAGATGGTGATTGTTGTTATTAGAATTAAAAATATATAGGAAATCTTGAATGCAACTTATAACAAATTCTAACTCAAAATTAACAGATTTACTATAAACAATAAATAAACTTTACTATAAAGTTTTTCAAAAAACTAAAAATATATTTAAAACTCAAAAAAAATTATTTTTATTAAAATCTAAAATATTATAAATTTTATAATAAAAATGAATAAAAGTATGTAAAACTTATAATAAAAAATATATAACTTCAAAATATTATAAAAGAATAACATATAAAAAAAAAATTAGAAAATAATTCAAAACTATTAAAATTTAGATCAAAGTCACAAACAAGTTTGATAAAAGTTAATTTTTTTTATAAAAAATAAATTATTAGCAAATTTTATTTATATAAATAACAAGTTTTAAAAAAGTAATTTAGTAAAAATAATTATTTATAAGTTATTTAGGAAAAAAAATAATTAATATCAAATAATTATAAAAAAAATAGTAGTACAAATTAATTTAAATTTAGACAATCCCAAAAGTAATTTATAATATATTGAGAAAAATTAAATAATCTGAAAATTTTATTCAAATTTAAAAATAAAATATAAAATTCAAAAAATCTAAAATATAATAAATTATAATAAAAGTAATATTAAAGAGAAAGATTAATAAATATTAATTAAAAATTTTAAAAAAAAATTAAAAATTAAATTTCATTTTTAAGTATAAATTGTAGTAAGAAAAAGTTAACTATAAATTATTATTCAAATAAAAAAATTTATAATTTAAACAAAACTCTTAATAATTATATATAAAAGTTAATTATTATAAAAAAAAATTTAAATTTGCGGATTTTAAAAAAAAATTAAAATCAATATAACTTTATAAAATATCAATAAATTAAATTTTTTTAAAAAAGAAAAGCAGAAAGTAAAGAATTTATACTTAAAAAAATGGAATTAAAAATTTAATGTTAATCCAACTTTTTTAGAGCACCAAGAAAGTATATATTATAAGGTTAACTCCAATTATAGAATACAGAAACAAATAATTGAAAAAGAAAATAAGTAGCAAAGTCAATAAAAAAACTAAACTAAATCGAATAAACCAATAAAAATTAAAAATTAAAAATAATTAAATCTTGAAATGGAAATTTACATAATTACAAATAAGCAATAAAATAAAACCAAAAATATATATAATAATCAAAAATTAAATTATAGTTAACAAGAAATTAATGACACAAATATAAAAAAAAATGGAAACAAAAAGAAAAAGCAATAAATTATAACCTATTAATATAAAAAATTATTATTACTTAAATTTAATTTCTATTATATTTTCTTAAAGAAATAAATAACCTGCGCTTGCTTTCGTATGGTTTCCTTTAATTTCGCTTGCTCTTCAGCATATGAGAGTTCTAAAAAAAATAATAATAAATTTAATCTTTTTTTTCCGTTGATAATTTTAAAAAAACCGTTTAAGGAATCAAATCTTTCAGCATCACTGGCCTCTTCGTTGAAGGCCCGCTCCGCACCTTTACTAATTAATTGACCAACTTCATAATCTTTCAGCGTAAATGCTTTAGGCTTAAAAAATAAATAGTTAAAATTAAAATTAAAACTAAATTAAATGAAGTTAGAATAAAATAACTAATTTAATTAATTTAAATATAAATTAAAATTTCCTCCCTATTTATCTATTATAGAATGAACGTTTACCTCTTTTTTAATTAGCTTTCCATTATACTTTTCCTCTATTGTTTCATCATCTTTTAAAATAAAAATAACAACCGTGCAGCTTTAAAAAAAATATTCTCACCAAAAAATTTTATTTTATTGTCGTAAATAGACTCATCTTTAGACTTTATCATAGAAATTGTTTTTAATATGTTCCGCTTTATAAGAAATAATAATAAACTTTAGTAACCTCTGAATAATTGCATGGAAAAATTATAATTGCATGGAAAAATTATAATAACATTTAAATAATTTGGAATCTATAAGTTATATAAATAAAAACTTCAATTTCTTCTGTAAGTAGTTCTGCATCCGAGTCTTCAAGCTCGCTAGTAGTCTCCGTTTCTGTCACCTCCTTATCATATTTTTCTTTAACTTCAAATAAAGTAACATAAATGTTTAATAAAATTTTTAAAAAGTAAACAATGAAATAAAATATAAATAAAATTATTAAGTATAATACGCTTAGACAACTCCTCTTTTTTCTTTTTAGCCTCAAATTTTTCAGCATAATCAAGATTAACAGTAAGCTGATTAGTATTTTCGTTTTCGTCGTCTTCAAAAAGTTTATGGCTCATAACAAAGACATAAAAAGTATATAAGTTCAATTATAATAATAATAATATAGGAATGTTCCTTTCAAGCTAATTGATAGTAGCAAATACAAAGCAATTAGCTGAAACAAAGGAATTCTATAACACGTGATAGGTAATATTAGCTGAAAGATGTATGCTTAAAAGTAAAATAGTATCGTTTATGCCTTTGCTTGAAAAACTTTATTGGAACACATTTTTTGTTTGTGTGTGTAATTTGCTTCATTTTTATATTATAAAATGGTAATTTAAATGATTTATTATTGTTATGAAAAATTATAACACATTCAAAACTCTAATGTCCGTTAAACGCTTCGCTCTTTGTGAATATCATTGCAAACTTCCTGTTCAACACGGCGTTAATAACAATAATAAGAATATTAACAATAACAATAATAATAATTTTGAAAGCCATGAGAGTACTGCTAGCTGCCTGAAAAGCTCAAATTCACCAATTACAAGCAAAGACGATTCTTTTATAATTAAAACCGATTCAATAGTGAATAAGTAATTCCCTTTTATTTAATTTCTGATAGGCTCTATCTTTTCTTTCTTTTACAGATTTTATGAAAAACTTTTAAGGGAAAACCAGAAAAGTACCGACTGGATTAGTAATGACTTATATCAACCTTCTCCTTGTCTTTCCAAGTTTTACTGGACACAAGTTGGGTTAATTTTTTTTTAAGTTTTTTATAATAATTTGTTTCACTTAACTTTATTTATTATAATATCTAAGTTTTTACTAATAATTATATATTTAACTTTTTCATAGAAATTTTATTATAAAAAAGACCTCAAAACTGATTTGTGTCTAGCAAAATTGATTTTATTTTAATTTATTTTATTGAGTTATTTAGTTATATTATTTTTATAAAGTAGATATATTTTTTTTTAATAGAATTTATATTATATCTTTATTACAGTGATTACGTGAAAAAGTGTGAACAACTAAATTTTTCGGACAATTCCGGAGATTTCATATCTGGATCTTATTGGATTTCTCTTAGACTAGATGGAAATGGTTTTGGTATCACTACTTGTTAGCCGTAATATTACTTTTATTAATTTCTTTTTATAATGATTATATACAAAATTTAATATTGTTTAGTTATAAAAAAGTTTATACAAACCGTCAATATATTTTTCAAACTATTTTTAATCCTTTTTATTATATATTACAAGTTTTGGAATATATATACTTTATTATTATTAATATCAAAAAATTTTAATTTTTTTTTGAAGTATTTATAATAAACTTTTTTATTTTTTTTTATTACTAATATTCTTATTTGAACTTTAATTAAATTTTTTTTTTTAAGTTTTATTATTTTTATTATTTTTTAAAATTATTTATTCCTTTATAGTATCTATTTTAATTGGTTGGAAATTTTATTTGGATATTATTACTAATTATATATATACTATTTACTTTTTATTAACTTTTATTGTAAACATAACGTGAAGTGCCGATAATTAATTTTAATTTAGGTAAGTGGATTCAAAAACTTCGAGAGCTGAATTTAATTTCAAAGCACGAACTTTCTGTAGACATTTCTAATATGATGGTGGATGTTTGTGAATTATTCATGTGTAAATTTCATGCCGTATATGGCTATACTCACAGCGATGAGCTGGTAATAATAATTCCAAGTTGCCCCATAAAAAAAAGTGAGCGTTGATTTTCTACGTAAAAGATTTCTTCTGGTGAAAATTTAGTTTTTAAAATTTTTTTTTTAGATTTTTTACTTAAGTGGTTATTTTTATAATAAATTTTAATTTTTTTTGATTTTTACTTTATTGTTTACTTATATTGTAATTTCTAATAACCTCTAGATGTCTTTTATCAAAAAAAAATTTTGAATTTTTTAGATTTTTTACTTATTGATAATTATTATTAAAAATTATAGTTTACTAAATTTTTTTACTACAGCAATTACTTTTATAATAAATTCCAATTTTTTTGATTTCACACTTTGTCGATTAATTTATAAAATATTTAAATTATTATATATTTTTACTTTATTGGAATTTAATTTTTTTAATTTTTTACTTTTATGATATAATAAAAAACTTTTTAAAATGATTAAAAAGATTGATTACTTATAACAATTTTAATTTTTTTTCAGATTTTTACTTTAATGATTACTTTTTTACTTTAATGATTACTTCTATTAAAATTTTTGATATTTTTATATTTTTACTTAAGTAACGACTTTTATTAAAAATATTAAATTATTTAATCTATTAAATAAATATTGACATTTTTACTTTTACGGTTACTTTTACTAAATTTTTAATTTTTTATATTTATTACTTAATTTATTACTTTTATTAAAATTTTAATTTGTTAGATTTTTTAAAATTTTTAGATTTTTTTAGATTTTTACTTGAATGGTGACTTTTATTAATGTTCTTAATATTATTAGTTATTTTACTGAAATGTTTATTTTACCGAATTTTTTTTTCATCTTTACTTTTTTGATTTTTTGTTTAAAACTTTTTACCTTTTATTTAATTTATATAATTATATATTTTTTATTTCCTAGAGGTATAATTTTAGTAAACTTCTTTTAATACCTTTTTGTTTAAAACTTTTTACTTTTTATTATTATACAATATATATATATGTATTATTTTATATCTAAATAAAATTTAGGGATTAAGGTATATATTTTTTTTTGAGGCATACTTCTGGTAAATTTTTAAATAAAATTTATGATAGCTTTTAATAAAACTTTTTACTTTATTTTTTTTATTTTCATTTATATTATTACTTAGTTTTATATATTAAATGTACATTTTTTATTCACCTTTTTATATTATTAAAATATTTAACAGGTGTTATCATATAAAAGTTTAGTTTTTAACTTTATTTAAGAGATTTTCACCGCTAAAAAGTTAATAATAAGAAAAAATATGTGCTATTATTTTATTTTTATGAGGCAAATTACTTTAAAAAAATGATTCCGTAAATTTCTTGTTTACTCTAAAAAATCAATTTTTTTAATTACTTTTTTATTTATTTTTTTGCTATAGTAGAAAATTTTTGTATTAACTTTTAATTTATATTGTTATAATTTTCATGCTTAATTAATAATGTGATAATTTTGCATCTTTTTTAAATTTCTTTAAATAATAATAATATTTTAATAAGTATAAATAGCATTTGAATTTTTGAGGTATTGATTATTATAAATAATTTTAATAATAACGAGTTTATTTATATATTCTTTAACAGAAATATTATATTATCTTTTAATTATTATTATAATATTGGTATGCTTGAATAATCATAATATATATTTTTCAGTCTTTTAGTATGTTTGCTATTATAAATCATTTTTAAAATTTTTTATTTTATTATTTTATAAATCACGGATTATTTATTGCTTCATTAGAAGTATTTATTATAACTTTTAATTTTTATTATTATTTTGTTATATTTTAAGAATACTAATTTAATTTTATGAATCTTTTTTTTTATATATTTTTAAATAATAATGATGTGATAATTATTACCATATTTATTTTATATTATTTATAATCAATAAATGATGAACTATTTGATAGAAATATTTTTAATAAATTCCAATTCGTATTATTATAGTTTTTTATGCTTAAATAATAATTTCTATTAAATATATTTTATTATTATTTAATAAATTACGAATTAATTTCTATTTTTAAATCTTTTTATTTTTTTTAGAAAATAGTAATATAGTTATTGTATTTTAAGTTTTCATTATAATATATAAATTTTGAAAGTAAAAAAAGTATTAATAACTTTTGTATAACGAATTTATTTTTATTTAATAAAAATATTTAAATTAACTTACCTTTTTTAAATAAAGTTATTTTTTTTTAGAAAAATTTTTTTATTTATTTATTGAATTTTTACAAAAAAATAAGAAATTTTTAATGATTAGAATATTTTTTCTTTTTTATATTTTTGGGCAAAAAACTTTTTAGTGGATACTTATTTTTTCTATTGAAGTTACTGTTTTTATCAAAAAAATTGTTAAGTGAATGTTTAGTCTTTTTATTCTCTGTATTTAATTTTATTTATTGTAACAGAATTTTTTTAAATACGAATATTTTTTTTTTACTATTTTGGTATATTTATAAGAATTTTTTATTTTTTATTTTTTATAATTTATTCTTTTTTTTAGAAAAAAAATTTCTTAGTGAATATTTTTTTTATTGGTTTTTTTTTACTGTATTGTTTTTTTTAAAAAAAATATTTTTACTCTTTCTAAAATTTTTTTTTATTTTTTCTATTGAATTTTATAATTTTTTATAAAAAACTTTTCTTTGTGAATTTTTTTTTATTTCTATATAAATTTCATGTTTTAGACGTCTTTCAACAGCATCTTTATAATGGAAGGGTGCAGAAATTGTGTTCCATCGCTTCTTCTTTCGTCACATGTAGATTCGCATTTTTACTATTTGGTTTTTTTCACTCAAAAGGTTTAAATACCCTTTATTTATTAATTTTTTAATACTTGAAAATATTTTAATTTTTTTTTTACTTTTTAATTATTTTCTTAAAGTATTTTAAACTTTATTTTTATTATTTGTTTATTAATTTTTTTTACTAAAAATATGTTTTGAACTTCTATATATATATTTTTTATTATTTAATTTTTTTTTACTTCAAATGTTTTAAATTACTTTTTTACTTTTTATTATTTTTATAACTTTACTTAAATTATTCATTAAATTTATTGTTTATTATAATTATTATCCTATTTAAATAGTGATTTTCTTTTTACATTATTTTTTTACTTTATTTTTGGAGTTGACCTTCGTCCGTAAATTTTATTATTATCGTTTATTTCAACTTTTTTTAAGTATTCACTCAATAATTATTATTAATCAATTTAAAGGTGATTTGTGTTTTTTTTAAGGAGTTGATCTCCATCATAAAAACTTTAATTTTGACCTTTTTCCTACTTTTGACTGTCGCTTGGGCCGTTACTCTTCTAGAAGTGAAGTACATTTTCTTTATTATAACTTTTCTAATTTTTTTTTATAACTTTATTTTTATTTTAGCATTTATTATTATTTTCTAAATTTATTACAAATTATTATTTTTTATTCTTTTTAATAAATTTTTTAAAAATTCTTTAAATGTAATGTAAGCTTCTCCATTATAATATTTCATTTTGAAATATTAACTTTAATTATTTTTTTTAGTAACTTTTATATATCTGTTTTAGTTTTGCAAGCTTCTCTTTTAATTAATTAAATTTTTTAGCAATCTTAAATTTTTTTTTTTGCGTAACATAACATAAAAAGTTTCTTTTTCGTCACATTTTATAGAATTTTATTTGTAATTTTTAACCGAAACTGTTTTATATTTGTAAAAACTTTAAAAAAAAAAATTTACTGAAAATTATTATATATAATTAGAATTTTTAAAAGTTTTTAACTTTATTGATATATTTATTATATTATAAAGGCGCTATTAAATATACTATGGCGTTCTTATGATTGTGGCGTGAATTCTTTGTCGACTGTTGCTCATTTGCAAAAGGGACTCCTTCTGGGCGCTGAACAGGCCGTGCGGAGTTGTACAAAGTCGACTTTGGAGTGGCTAAAAGCCAATAATCTTCTTCCTTTGCGGGATTTACACGCTTACGGGACTTTTTTAATGAAAGTTTTTGATATATATTCTTATATATTAAATATTGTTTTTTATTAATACATTTTACTATAAAGGTTGAGAAACAATTTATTGGCACGAATCCCGTAACTAACGAAAGTGTTACGTACACGAGAAGGGTCATTGAAAAAACTTCTGGGAATGTCATTCAGTTTCTAATCAAGAATAACTTTTTTTTGTAAACTGCTTTTAAACTAATATTTCATAATACTTTTGTTTTGGTTTTTTCTTAGAAAATTAAATTCTATGTTGCACTTAATTTAGATTGTGACGAGAATTTAATACTTTTTAGGATGTTTAATTATTTAATATATTTTATAAATCTTTATTGATGTTGTTCTAATTCCCACTTCGCGTAGTACTTACAATTTCACTATAGCGCCTCAATATATATAACATAAGGAAGGTAGGAGTAGAACTCGCTATTAAATTACTTCGCACTACACTCAAAAGACCATAATCTTTTGAGCAAGTACGTTATTTAATGGTTTTGTACTCTACTTGCACGCACGCGCATATTAACAAGTTTATAATTGTAGTCATTGGTTTCACATGTTATGTACCCGCAGTCTTCAAATCCAACTATTTATTAGATGCATATTTATCCTTAATGTACAATTAGAGTCAATTTAGTTAAAACATTCATGGCTTACAATAATGAAAGTTATGAAGTTTGTTAAGTTCTGTTTCATCGAGACAAAAGTATGAAACATAACAGGATAAGTTCGCCCTTCTACCATTTGTTGGAGTAAACTATAATAAATCACGTACTTATACTACGTGGTATATATACCATGTGTTATTATACCACATGTTCCTACCACGTGTTTTTATGTTAGGTACCACGTGTCTACACCGTCACTTTACTAAATCGTTTAGAGAAATAAGCTTTTTCTCTTAGGAAGTTTAGCCTTGCCAAAGGGCGCAAGTCAACTAGGTGGTTAATAAATAAAGAGTGATCGCTACTTGTATCTGTTTTTGAAGTGGCCTTAGCCAAAGAATACCTGGACCTTTCCTCCAAGTCTTAGATGTCAGGTGTGTTTGCGGACTTCAATAATCCCAGTATTATCTATAAAACTAGCTTGGTTTTTAACTCTTATTAAGCTGTAATTGCCTAACTAAGGGTCTACTTCAACTCATCTATTTCATGTTTATCTCAAATTTCGTATTTCTCTTAAGGGTATAAATACCATCTCTCTACAGGACAATGGTTCTCCTCTTTTTTCCCGTCACTTTTACCTAATTTTAGAAAAATCAAGATTGTTTACAAGCTAAAAATATTTATTTTAATAGTGCAAGGAGGAAAATTTTATTAGCGCGTTATCGTTCAAAATTGCTTCCATGTTTTTTTTGTAAACATACTATAACGCTTTAATTAATAATTGATATTATTGATCCCTTATATATTTATATATATATAAGTTTAGATTGAGATCTATTTAATGTAGTTTGTATTAGAGGAATTGCTTTCATACTTAAGTCTTTACCGCTTTTTAAAGTTTAAATATCGATTAAAACGTTTTTGCAAGTGCACCCCCCCCCCCTCGTGCAAAATTGTTTCAATCTCATACGAAATTTTCATGATCATTCCATCATAGGAGGGTTTTTTTAAAGCGTTTGAGTGGCAAAAAAAGGATAGCTTTTTTAAAGACCTTAATTTAGTAATGCTTAAACTTTCAATCGATAAAATGATGTAAAATGTCTTTTAGATCAAGGCAAGCTTTATACTGAGGTCACTCGAGAATGTGGTGTCAGTAAGGCCAATAACCTTGATCAAAGCTAAATAAGCTCCAAATCGTCCTTGCAATGAACCTGGGCGTTTAAAGATCTTGAAAAACCGGGATGTAGCTCGACTTGTACAAAAAGTGACATGGAGTGCAACTGAATCTGCACAGAAATCTTCAAAAATCCTAGAAATAACATTAAATTCACCAGTTTCAAGATCGACTCTATCGAGTGCATTGCATGCTACTGGTCTCCATGCGAAAAAAAAGGTTAATTAAATCCACTTTGACAGACCATCGCAAGCACTAAGGTTTGAGTTTGCGAAGTACGAAAATTGATCCATTTCTGACTGGGAATAATAATTTTTTTCGGACTAGACCAAGATCAATCTATAGGGTTACAAGGCTCTAATTGCATTCGTTCCAAGTACTAGACTGGCCTCCGCAATCTCCTGATATCTCAATCCCTTTGAGCAGGCAGGGGAAATCTTGGAGTAAATTGGGATCTAGGCATCAGCTCCTGCTAACTTGGATGAGATTTGGGCACGTGCACTATCAGAAGGGAAAAATATGACACCTGCTCAATGCTACAACCTGGTTTCTAGTATATACCAAAGAGGATACAAGCAGTGATTCTGGCAAAAAGGAGATATACTAAATATTAATACCTCGTTCATTAAATAAAATTTTTTCTACGCGCAAACTTGTTTTTATAAGCTTTTAACTTTACAAGCTCCTATCTTTTCGAATATTAAACCAATATAAGAGCAAGTATTAATGAAATGTAGCTAGGACATAGAATTACACTGTCTACAAATTTTAAAGTAATCCATTACGTTTTTGAAGAGTTATTCTATATTAAATTCTAAACATTACAACAATTTTGCACCATAGTGTAACTAAATTCTTCTGTACGTTTATAAACCCACTTCTTCTTACCATTTGCTGTCTAGGTTTGGGTCTGCTTCAGGAATTAGATTTTTTTATTCGTTTTATTAAGAATTTAATTTTAAGGTTTAATTTTTTTTATTATAATAAAAGAAAGTATTTGACCTAAGGTACTTCTTATATAAAATAAAGCCGAGGGTTTAAGTATTATAAGTATGGGTTCTAAATTAAATCCAACTTAATATAAGAATCAAGGTAGATCTTTATATAAAAAAAATTGTCATATTAAAGAAAGTAGGAGAGAAGCATAGAAATAAGGTCTTAAATTTACATTGCAAATGTATCTATTTAAAATGTTAAAATTTTTTTCATCATGTTATTCACTTGCGTCCATTAATTAGCATGCCATAAATAGAAATGGAGATCAGCATACCCCCAAGGGAGGGGATTTAATATTTTTGCTCTGTTCCCCCGTGAGACGTGTTGTGGCATAGAGGGACAGCCTAATTACCGTGTAATATATATAATTTGTCTAATAAATTTATTTATGCGTTTATTCCTACCTTAGGTATACGTATATCTACGCTTTTATAGCCACTACCACAATAGCGCCGTTCTAGGAGCCACAATCATGCCAAATAGTGGTCTATCGCCGTCTCTAAGAGCGACATAAACTCTTTACACCAATGTTACGATGATATCGTCTTAAAAGTTAACATCTACAGTTTTATCTCTACACATTTGCTGGCGGGTGTCGTTAATAAAACTTATTTATTTACGCATCAAGACTTTTCTTTAACAAAAAAAGTGCATTGCCTTCCCAACGTTGTTCACTATCAACCGCATGGATTACTATGTGGTGCCCTCAAGTGCAATACCTGAGGTCAAGGCAGTGGCCCAAAAGCTATACCCTCTGTTGTAGCAAAAGTAAACTCCTGTTGTGTATTCGGTCGAGCTGGGCCTACAACTATTCAATAATATCCTCCTCGATTCATGTACGACAAACTAAACCGCTGGACCTTTTGATAGGCGCGTCGTGAATGCTGACGTCCTTTTTAAACTTCAGCTGAACACGATAATCGTTTTCTAACCAAAGAACTTACCGTACGCGTAACGTGCTCTTAACGTCATGGTTAAAAACTAAGTTGGAGTTTGCCACACAGCTATAGATAATATTTGGACGTCCTAAAAGAAAATGACGCTGTCCCAAACATTATAAACCTTCGATATTCTCAAGATTAATTCGAATTAATAAAGAAACAATAAATACTAAAAGTTTTAAATAAAAATAATCCTCTCGCCCTTGTTTTTTTCTTCTAGTCTAGCAGTGCTGACCTCTTTACGATCTTTTCGAAGTTGTTGCCTCGATCGAGCACCAGGATAGGAACTTCTTTAATATAAATGAATGATAGAAACCTTACTTCAATGATAGAAGTCTTTAATGATAATGGCTTTTGTTCCGCCTCCAGATTTATCCTCGCTAGACTTGAACAATGTTAACTTCCAGCTTTTATTTATATATTTTTTTAAAAATATTAAAAAAATAGTTATGATATAACTAGTTAATACCTAATCTTTTAATAAGTTTTTGAGGAGTTTAAAAGTAGCGCTGGGCTCGACTATACCTCTCTGGTATGTTATTAATAAAAATATATGGGATTATCGTCTTAATGAAGATGAAAAGAAGTATTTAAAGGTTTTCTAAATAGTTTTTATTATAAGATTTGTTTAGAATGAATCATATTGTTTAAGTCATTCCTACCAGAAAATTTTGACGTCGACCAAATTTTCGAGAAAAAATTTTTAGGTTTTCATAATCCTATTGCTCAGTTTCAAAAACATTTAGATAACATTAATACGATAGACGGTAATTATTTAAAGTTTCTATATATTAAACTTTAGCTTTTTTTTTTTTGATAAACTTCCTTCTCACTTCGGTGTTTTTATAATATTTTTAACTTTTTTTCGATTAATTTTTTTTTTTTTATTTTTCTCAATAAAGTTATCAACCGTTATATTTTTAAAAAAAGCGGCTAATCCTGAAGGTATCTCAATATAGTTGGAAAGTCTGCAACTACAAAACCAATATTATTTATTTCTATAAAATTTCTTTAAATTAAACAGTTAATATTTATTTTTTGTAGATTTTTTACGTTTAGAAAAAGTTGTCCATCTAAAAACACTTTCAAGTTGCAACAGAAAATTAAAAAAAAGAAATTCTTTTGGACTTAATCCTGTTGATTTGGCTTTGTACTTGACCACTTAAATTTTTATAATACTATTAAATTTATTTTTAATTTTCAAAGAATTTTGCAATTAAAAAAACGTCTTAAGCACGACGAAAATATTCGAAAAAAAGTTGAAAAATCGTATAATTTTATTATGAATCATCTTGATTCCGATGCTCTTCCTTCAGTAAAAGTTTTTCTTTGCGTTTTATTATTCTCTATTTTTTCCTTGACTTATAAATTTCTAGGAAAGTGCACAAAAGGAGGAATCTTTTGTTGTAGATTTGTTGGATCCTCGTTCTTTGGTGGTGGATCTTTCTTCCAAGAAAAGCGATGCTTTTGATGAAGAAAATCAACTTCAAACTTATTTAAGTGAAAGAAAACGGCTACTTTTCTACGGAATTTGCGCTCCTTTTGGGCATTTAGATTCTCATTTGTTCTTGCAAAAGTCTTCATTCAAATTTTTTAAATTAATTTTAAATAAAATTAAAAACCTTATTATTAAGAAATTATATAAAGAAAATTTATATATTTTTTAATTAAAATTTTAAAATTTTTTTTTACTACTTTATAATATTTATTAAAGTGTTGCCAATTTTTGATTTTCAAAAATATTCTAAATATAATTTGTGTTGTGCTTTGCATATACTTGTAATTTTTATTTTAAATTTCTTTTTCAAAGTTATTACTTTTAGCATTTCTACATTTTAATTTTATTTTTGAGAAAAATTTATACATTTATCTTTAAATTCTAAACTAGTAAGTTCTATTATAATACTTGTTTATGTTAACTTGAATTGTTTTATTTTAAATTTATGTGCAATTAAAAAATTTAAGCAAGTTATTATAACCATAAAAACTTGTTGATGCTAGTGATTGGTCCTGTATGGTTGGCGAAAGTAGACCGAAAGTTGACTCGAGTTGCCCATACGATGTAGTACTTATTGCTAGCAGACTAGGTTGCCCTCTAGTATTAGTAGGGTAGAAGCAAAGTATAGAAGAGTACTGTTACCTAGTATATACTATATATTTGCGGCACATCCATATAATTATTTTTAGAGATTTTAAAACCGTTAAAGTATATTCTATACTTATTTGCATTTAGTTGAAAGTAAATTTTATGTGACTTAAAGCACAACATAAATTCAAATCTTGTTTTATAATTTTTTAAAAAAATTAAAAAATTTTTTAATTAGTAATTGTAGCAGTTTATAGATTTTGATAAACTAAAAGGCAGTTGATAACAATTTTTATTTATTTGGATTTTGGATTTTTATTTTTTAAAAAAGGTTATAGTTCAAATTAAATTCAACTTAATAAACAATGTATAATTTTGTTACTTTACTTATAATAATATTAATAGCATTTTTGTTAAACGAGTTTATTAGAAAAAAAAGATTTTTTTTAAATAGAGAAACTGAAAATTTATTTATTTATTTTTTATTTTGTTAGAAGTAAAATGTAAATTAATAATTTAAAAAAAGTTGGGTTAGCAGTTAATATTAAATAATATTTTTTTTGTTTCATAAATTTCATAGAGAAATTACAAAAATTGTTATTAATTTATTAATCTAATGAAAATAAAATTTGAATTAGTTTAAAAAAAATTAGAATATATTATTTTTACTATAAATATTTATATTGTTTATCTGTTAAAGCATTTACAAGAAAATTTTGGTTAATAAATTTATAAAAAAATTTACAAATAAATTATTTTTATTTTACTATTTTGTAGATACGAAATTAGAAATACTTTTTAGAATAATTATATTATTTTAACATTTTTTTAAAGCATTTTGTTAAAGCAATTAAAAAGAAATATTTTTTTTGTTAATAAATTTTTAAGAGCATTTCCTAAATTAACTATAATTAATTTATTAAATCGTTGGTAAAAAATTAGTTAAATATAAAAGAAATAGATAATTAAATTTTACCCTTAAATTTTTTTAAGCAGTTTATAAAAAAAAGTTGTTTATAAATATTAAAGAGAGACTACAAAAAATTTTATAATTAATTTTATTAACTTAGTAGAAAGAAAATTTAACTTAGTTTTAAAAAATATTAGATTAAATTATTTACTTGTAATAGTTTTTGTAGCACTTTTTTTTCAAAAAGGTTATAAAAAAATTTGTATATCAATTTAATAGAAAAAAAAATAAATTGCAATTAAGTAATTTAGCAATATTTTTAATGTTATTTTTTTATAAAACATCTACTTTTTATAAATAACTAATCTATTTTTTATTATAATTTTTAATGTAACAAAACCCAAACGGGCTAGTCGTAAACTTAAAAAAAAAATTGCAATTTTATCATAATAATAGAAAATTTGAAAATAAAATTGACATATAGAAAACGTAGAAATTTATTATTTTGCAAGTAAAAAAATTAATTTTTTTAAAAACAAATCATAATTTCTTTTTGCCGTTATAAAAATTATTTTTATATATAAAAATGTAGAGGATTTAGAAAGCAAGTAAGTGGTAAACAGTATTATTTAAATATATTTTTTTGTTTGTAACTTAAATTTAATTTCTTTATTTTTTTTTTTTAAAAGTAGAAAATTATAATTTTATTTTGTAAAAATTTAAAAATAATTGAGAAGTTAGAGATTTTTTTATGGAAATGTTTCTCTTGAAATTTTTTTTTCCAGAAATTAGCATATTTTGTTTGTTTACTGGAAGTTTTATAAAGAATTCTACATCTACTAAACTTGTGACCAACTAACTCGAGCTGATTTTGGAGATTATTTTTTTAATTTCAAAAAATTAAAATTCAGTTTTCTGTTTTAAAATTTTTTTAAATTTAATTTATAAATATTTTGTATTAGAAAGTCGCATATTGAATTCAAAAATTGAAAAGTTTATGATTCCATTTTTTTAATAAAATTTTATATTTATATTATTAATTTTAATATAAAATCAAAATTTGTAAGAAATTATATCAAAAATCTTTTTTTCTTTTATAATCTATACAAAACTTAAGTTTTTCATAAATATTAAAAACTTTATTTATTTGTAGACAATAAAAATCGCATACTAAGTTATAAAAAAAGTAAAAAGTTTATTATATCATCGTAATATGAACTTTAATTATAAATAATTTTTAGTAAACAATTTAAAGTTTAAATATATTAATTATAAAAATTATTTTTTTATTTATATTTTATTGAAACTTTAATTTACTATTAATAAAAAAATTATATATATTTGTAGACAGTGAAAATCGCATAAGTTTATTATATAATTTTTTTTTCACAAACTTTTGCTTTTTATAATTAAATTTTAATAAAAAAGTTAAATTTTAAGAATTTTGTTCTTCATTTTTTTTTCTATTCAAACTTTAACTTATTATAAATTACAAAAATTAATTTAAATACTTTTGAACCATAAATTTTAAGTTGAATTACAGAAAACTGATAAATTTTTTAGTATCAATAAATAAAATTTTAATTACTTTTATAAATATTAACAGTCTTCTTTAATTTTTAACTCAAATTTATTATTATAAAAATTAAAAAATTGTTATATTAATTTTTTAAAAAATATTTTTAACTATAAATAAGAATAAAACTAATGTCATGTATTTATTATCTCTTGTATATTTAATAGTGTTATTGAAACATATTAATAAAGAAATTCAACTTTTCTATTTTTTTTAAAAATTATATATTTAGTTTTATCGTTCATCATTTGTTTAGTATAAACTCTTTAAAATAATAATGAAAAAAAAAATTAGTGAAATTTTGAAATATAATATATTAATTTTTTTAATTAGAATTTTAAATATAAAATTTAAAAAGACTTTTTTTATAGTTAAGCTCTATTGAAGCCGGAATATAAAAATACAACTTAAAAAAATTTACTTTATTGTATAAAAAAAAATGAAAATAAAAATATAAATAAAAAGTTGATTTTTATTTCTTTAAAAAAAAAATTAATTATAAAAATAAAAAAATTGTCTAGATAATAAAGTTTAATATAATTTTGTTTAATTTTTTTTTTAGCTCATGATTTTTATATCGAAAGTAAATGAAAAAGAATTCATTATTTTAAATATTTTTTTATTACTTGAACATAATTTATTTAAACTTTCAGTTAAAATATTATCTGATTATATTATTTTGAAACAAACTATTGAAAAGTACTATATTTATTGGTTTTGTAAACCGTTTATTGTTGAATATAGTCGTGAATTATTTTTACGCTCTTTTAAAATTTATTTATATTAATTTTTTTTTTGCAAATTTTTAATTCATTAAATTTAAAAAGCAAAACTAATATTAATATTTTTATTAAAGTAAAACATTTTTTTAATTTTAAAAAAAAAAATTTAGGTTCTCCATTTTATGATTTATTGCACTTTTTTTAGTAAAATTATTGTTTATTTTTTGGAAGTTTATTAATTGAATATAAATTTATCAATATATATTTGTTAAGAATTTTTTATTTATACTATTAAGTTTATAAATTTAAATTGATCTATTTTTAACAATATTTTTTAGGTATATTTTGTATTTAATGGTTTATTGTTTTTCAGTACATTTTTCTAATTATCTTTTTATTAAAACTTTGGATTTTTTTAAAGACAGTTTTCTATACAAAACTTTAAATTTTTTTATCAAAATTTTATATACTTTCTATTAAACTAAATTTTTATTTGAGGTGATTTATTTATTACTATTTCTTTTCTCAGCAATAACAAGAAAAACAGCGAAATTAGTGAAATAGTGAGAACTCTTAAAACCGTCAAAATTTCTTCTTTTTTTGTTTTTCTTTATGAAATTTTCAAACTTGTTCCTCATTTTCGGTAATTCTTTTTTTACAAGCCTTTCATTATCGCTCATACCAATTTTTATATATGAAAAAAAGAGCAAAAGAAACTTTTCTAAAGGAATGCGTTGAACTTTGGTTACAAGAAAAAGTTGATTTTTGTTTAAAAAAATTTTCAAAAATAATAAAAATTTGGCTGAAAGACGACGACGTCACGTGGATGCTGGGAACTGCAGCGCCTGGATTGGCCACAGTGCGTCTCTTCTGCGCTTAAGCACATGGCAACACCCCGCGGAAAAAATCTTGTGAGGAAGGTGGATTCTGAAAAAAACGAGTGGCAGTGGATTGGAGGAACACACAGGTCACGTGTATTGGCGAGCGAGTTTCGCTGGGACGCTGTGAGTGCGGGTATCACGAGGATTTTTTTTACTTATTTATTAAGATGTATTTATTTTAAACGTGCCTATATATTATTAATTTCTAGTAACTTTTTATAATAATATATTCACTAACAGAAGTTTTACAGACTTAAGTTTTTAGTTTTATATAAAAAATAATAAAAAGCTTTAATTCGAACCCGCTGTCCTGCACGTCTTATTGTTTTAGAGCATTTTTTAAGAATCAAATTCTATGAATCTCATATATAGAAAATATTCACGTGTGTTCAATTTCTACTTGATTATAATTTATAAGTAAAAAATCTTTGAAAGTTTTTTTTATAGTGAAAAAAGGAAGACCTGGGTGTGTGTACTAATACTTAAGTAGAAACTTTTTTTTTCGGATTCAACCTTTTACAAAAAGAATTTGATGACTAATTTCAAAAAAAAAACTTAAAAAAAATCTATTGAGCAATACTTTTATTAAAAAAAATTCACGTTTAAAAAACTTTATTACTCAAAAAAATTCATTTCTTGTTAATTTTTTGGCTCAGTATAATTTTTTAATTTTTTAACAGCCTTTTATTGCTATTCTTAAGACTCCATAAAAAAACCAATAAACACAATTTGTAGATAGTCATCTATTTTTTAACAAGTTAGTTTTTGTGTTACGGTATAAATAATACTTAGTTTATAAAATTTATTAAACCTATTAAATTTAATAATGTTTTATAATATTAATTGTATTTAGTTTATAAGTAAAATTTTAAAATCTTTAATAAAAGTTTTATTTTTTGAATTAAAATTTAATTTTATAATAACCATAATTACTTTCTTACGTGTGTGACGTCACAGGTCAGGTCCGTCCAGGCGCCTATTCACTGTACCGCGTCCGGCCAAGTACGCCGTCCGAGCTTCTGGCTTTCCGGCTTCAGGTATGCTGTGCCCATGTTTTACTATTGGCAGTTCTTCCGGCTTTTTTTGCTGCTGACTGGCACCTGCAGGAAGCCGAGCGGTACAGGCATCCAGAAAAGGCTTTTATTTACAGGTGATTAGGTTTCTATATTTGTTCTAGACGATTTTTGTAAAAATTTTCAAATATAAAGTTTTTTTTACGATTATTTTATTTACAGAAAAAAATTTTATAGAAAAATTTTTAAAATTATTATATATATAATTTATTTTCAGGAGATTTTTGTAAAAACTAATATATTCACATTTTATACTCACAAAATTTTCAATATCTAATTTATTTTCGGATGGATTTCGTGCGATTAAGATTTTTTAATTTATAATCTTTTATATATAAATTCGATGAATAAATTTATTTTATTATAAATTTTAAAATATTTATATTCAATTAAATTTAAATAATATATATATAACACATTAAATTTATATTTTATTTATTAAAAATTTTTTAATAGATAATTTATTTTTAAGTGACTTTTGTGCGACGAATAAATTTTCAAAATTTTAATTTTTAAAATAATTGTATATGTATAATGCAATTCTTAAAAATTTATAACATTTTTAACATAAACTTTTCTATAAATAATTCATTGTCGCGGAAGAATGCACGATTATGAGGCTCCTGTTGGCCCTCTTCGGCGCTTCGGTCCCTGCCGTGACTCCAAACCAGCCAAGCCGCGACCTCATTATGCTCTCGTTCATAATTTTTTTTAAAAAAAAAAAAAAGTTGTGCTGATTTTTTTTTTATATATATAAAAAGTTAAGCAACCGGCCGGCTTGCGTAAGTCTTCTTTCGCTCGTGCGAGATGCTGTAAGCCGCCTGCCCAACGGCCAAGGCAGGCTCTTTTTTATTTATAGCTGTTTCGAGCTTCTCCACTTAATAGTTTGATTATTGGTGACTTACTATTATCATTACGTTTACGATAATGGAGGTGTTTAATTTTTTTTTTAAGTTATTATTTCCATTATTTTATGATGATTAGCTTTTTATTATTATTACTTTTTTTTTCATGTCAATTTTTTTTAAAATAATGAAATTAATGGTGTGCAGTAAAAATAATAGTTTTTATAAAAACTTTCTTTTATTATTATATATATTTTAAATTATTACTTTTTTTCACGTGATTATTTTTATACGGGCTTCTTTACTTATTATTTTACTATTCATTTTTTTAATTTTTTCTACTATTCACTTAATTAGTTTGTAATTCGAGAGTTTTTAAATTTTAAATTTTTTTTTGAATTTATTTAATTCGGTTTTATTTTTATTATTTTCTATTTTTAGTTTTTTAAATATTTATATATAATATTTTTTTACTTATTACTTTGTAACTAAAAAATTTTATTTTCCTCATTTTTAAGTGTGTGGTTTTAATAATTGTTTTTTTTTTCACGTGATGAAAAGGAACCCGCGATGACATCATCACTTTACTTAAAGATTCGCAATACCTCAATCCGAACCTCACGGAAGAGCAGTGCTCTACTCTTGTCAGGTTTCATTATGTGAATAATAAATTTCATTATAATTTATTTTTTTTTTTCAAGCAAAAATTTCTTCTCTATTAAAATCTTTTTAGATTTTTTTATCATAAAACTTTTAGTGATGCCTCATTTATAGATTTCGAAAATTTTTAAAAGCAATAAATTTTAAATGTTTAGCTTTTTTTACTATTAATTTATAAGTAGTGTCTTATAATTTTTAAAAAGTACTGCTGTATGTACTATAAAGCTTTTAGTAATGCCTTATTTAAAGTTATGAAAATTTTAAAAAAAATTTTTGAAAAGTATTGCTTTTTTTACTATTAAAATTTCAGTAATGCTGATTTATTAATTTTAACAATATTAAAAAAACTTTTGAAAAGTTTTATAGATTTTAAAAACTTTAAAAAAATTAATTTGGAAAAGTAATGCCTTTTATACGGTAAACTTTTAGTAATGCCTGATTTATATGGAAATTTAAATTAAATATTTTGGTAAGTATTGGTTTTTTCTACTATAAAACTTTTAATAATTTCTCAATTATAAATTATAAATTTTTAAGCAAAGTATAATTAAAAAAATTCTAATTAACTTATTTTTTTAATAACCACCATAATTTTCTTTTTATTACGAATATTTTTGCTTTTTTTTTTACTAAATATATTTGTATCGCACAACTTGTAAATAATAATCCTTTATAAAAATTATGAAAAATAATAATTATAACATTTTTTTAGTGTTATTTTGCTTTTACTACTGCCTAATTTATAAATTATAAATTTTTTAAAAAAGTAAAATTTGAAAAATATTTTATAACCTTTTTTTATAACTAATTTTTTTTGATAAGTATTTTTTTGCTTCCTTTTTTTCTATAAAAATTTTAATGTCTATTTTAAAAATTGTAATTCTTAATAAAAAAAATTTCGAAAAATAATTATATTTTTCTTTAGAACTATTATTTTTTTGTTACTTATCCTTTTGCTTCCTTTTATACTACAAAACTATTACTGATGCTTAATTTTTTAATTATAGATTTTTTAAAAAAAGTAAAATTTCTAGAAATTAGTAATTTTAATTTCTTTTTTTATAACTATAAGTTTTTTGTATAAACTATAAATTTTTACAAAGCTGTGCTTTGGATCGTTTGCACGCTGAAGCGGATCCCTGCGTGAAATACGACAGCCAAGAAAAAGTTTGGGTCAATCTGCATCACAACAGAACTGCTGAAATGATGGGCAATTTTTTTTATAATAGATATTAATGCGCTCGCCTGATTTTTTTTTTAAAAAAAAAAATTAGAAAATGAATTAAAATTTTCTGAAGAAGCGAATAAATTAAAAACAAAATTCATAAAAGAAACTAAAAGCGAAACTTCCGTTGTAACTGTAAAAGATTTACTTCAACTTTATTTTTTTTAATTTTTATTTAAATTCTAGTAATAACAAAAAAAAATTTATTTTTAGTTTTTTTCGCTACAATTAAATTTTAAATTTTTAATTTATTTTACTTAATTTGATCCTTTTCCCAACTTTTTTTAGAATTCTTAATGTTTATATATACGTTTTAGAGTAAATTAATATTTTTTACACGATATATATATAATTTTTTTAATTTTTTAATTGCACTAAAAAGGATTATCCTCCTGCAAAAAGTAAATACAACTTGCGGCCCTCCATTCAGGTATTAAAAATTTAAGGCAGTTTTTATTAAATTTTTAAAATTTTTAAAATCTTTCTATTTTCTTTCCCGTCAAATTTATTTTAATTTAATTTTTCTTTCATTTTTAGGGTTTTTAACATTTTAAAATATAAAGTAATTTATTACTTATAAAAATTTTATGAACTTTAAAATTTTTTTTAAAAAGGGAAGCTTTTGGTATTCTACTCAAGAAAATTATAAATTTAGATTATTTTTATCTCAGAAGAAATTAAAATTTTAATTTTTTAGAACATAAATTCCCTATAAATAGAATTAAATTTTTAAAATAGTTAATTAAAAATTAAGCAACACGGAAACTAATAACTTTTAAATAAAAACTCATAAAGGAATTTTAAATTTTAATTATTTTGTGCCAATAGAAGAAACCAAAATATATAGTTTTTCAAATCAATAAAAATTGATTTAAATTTTTAAAAGTTGATCAATGGCAAATCAACACGAAAAACATATACTATAAAAACCTTATAAGTAAATTATAAATTTAGAGCAAAGTTAATATGAAAATCTTATATAACAACTCTAAAAAGTTGACTTATAAATCAATCAAAATGAAAAACTAATTTTGTTAACAAAATCCATAAAATTATCTTTAAAATTATTACTTAAAAAAACTTAATCCCTTTATAGCATCGAAAATCTTATGAAAGTTTATGTGAGGAAATGCATGAACTTTTTGGTAATTAAAAAAATTTTTTTAAAAAAATTTTTTACTCAAAATTATAAAAGGTGAAGAAAATGACAGCGGCACTAATTTAGAAGATATCTCCAGCGAAGAATCTCTACAAGAAAACACCCTTCGATTATAATTGCTTAGTGAGCCCTATAAAACTGGACGAAGCGAGTGAAATTTACTTTAATTTCTACAAAATTAAATTTAAATTTTAAAATTCATTTTCTTTTGAAACTAATTAAATTCCAAAAAAGAAAATTTAATTTTATAAAAAAAATTTAAATTTTCAAAAGATTTATAGCCATGAAGGTTTACTGCGTTTATCATATTTTACTTGCGAGACATCAAAAAGTTCAATGAATTGTTGATCCATCGTTCGTGGTTTTGGAAAGGCAAAGCGACGATATTCTTCACATATAGAACTGCTAGAAAAAGTAATAAGTTAAACCAAATCACAAAATTTTGCAATTTTATGATAAAAGTTTATATAAATTCTTAAAAGATATATAAATTTAATTATTAATGAAAAGTTTGGAAGTATAACACTAAAGTTTCACTGTTAGAAAAAGTAATAAATTTAAAATAAATAACAAAATTTTTATTATTCATAAAGTTAAAAAAAAATATTTAAAAAGGTCTTCAGTGAAAAGTTTATAAAAAAATTTTTGATGTTAGAAAAAGTAATACAAAATACAAAATATTCTTTACAATATAATAAAAAATTAAATTATTAATAAAACAATTTAATTGGTCATCACTATAAAAACCTTATAAGTATAAAATTAAAGTTTTTACTGTTATAAAAAGTAATAAATTTAATTTTCAGCATAAATTTTTTTGTATGCTATAATAAAAATTAAACTATATATATAAAACACTTGAATTGATTATCAACGAAAAGTTTAAAAATACAAAATTAAAGTTTTTATAGTTAGAAAAAGTAATAAAATTAATTTCCAGCAAAAAAAATTTCTTAATGTTATAATAATTATTTAAATTATTTACTTAATTATCAAAAAAAAGTTTGAAAGTATAATAATTAAAGTTTTTATAATCAAAACTTAACGTGTGGCACCAGCCCTGAACTTTTCTCAAACATCCAATTAAGCATCCCGTTCGATGTTTTCCTAGACTCCAATAAAAATAATTTTAAAAAAATTGTAAATTTTTAAAAAAAAAATAAAACCTTTATTGCAGTGGACTAATAAAGGATAATTTCTTGTGTCCAAAAGTGCAGAAAGTGCCATCTGAATGGTAATTTATTAAAACAAATTATGGTAGATATTAATAATATACTTGAATAACAGCGTCTGGAATATCAAAAAAAGGCTCTTTATTTCCAGGAACACCAAACTGCAATAATTGAATTCCATTTTCTTTCATATAATGAAGGTTGGCCTCAGGATAATCCTCCTAAAAGCCTGGTAATTCGCTAATTATTTTAACTTTTAATTAAAATAAATTGCCTCAAAGAGAACAAGAATGCTTTTCAGTTTTAAATTTTTTAAAAAAAGAAAGTTTTTTTTTTTAGGTAAAGCCGAGCGGTAAATACCAGGCGCGACCTACTTGTGACCAGTTGATTACTATAAAAAAAAAAGGGAGCGTAACTACCACTGCCAAATTATCGGGTGGTATATAGTCGTCGTTTTCATCGTCTTCTTGAAATATCATGACTATTAAAAAAATCTTTTGTAGTTAAAGGACTTTAAATTATTAGCATAACTCATAATACAACTGCAGAACTACTACAAGCTACAATTTTGTGGCTACTATCCCAGCAAGGGACCCCATCAACCGCTTATTTAAACCGTCTTAACTTAAAATTTAAAATGTTCCTTTGCTTCGTAATGGCAAAAAATATTTATTTAGCTTTACTAGAAGGGAAAATAAATCGTTTTTTCTCTTGCTTAGTAGACAACGTTTAAGCACCTATTTATAAGCTAAGCTTGAATTTCTCCTAACAGCTTTAGTAAATCAATTCTTTATTATATTTACTGTCGTTATGTCTCCATAGGGAAAACTTTTATTTTGTAATTTACGTCTGAAAAAAGATAATTATCAGTTTGTCTATTCACTGCACACGTTTTCTTTGTGACACGAAGGGAATTAATAACCTTATTTAATGGAGTAGCTTATCATATGAGCCATAACCTCGTTAATGATTACTGGTTTTCTTCTATGTGCCCCCTTTTTGTTAAAGCGTTTTCCACCTTTTCCAATAAAAGTTTGCTTAGCTACTATCGACTTTGTTTAGTAGGTCATTCTTATGGTTTCAACAAATTTGCTTTTTTCGACTTCGAAAACTCCACGTCTTTATATTTATAATTTATTCAAACTTTTCTGTGCATATCCTACTATCACCTCGAACCCCGTTAAGCGACCTTCTAACTCTACGAATTTAGAAGAGATTCTTTCTAAACCAGAAATTTCTTTTGATAAAAAAACTCAAGCAGATATAGATCTCGGCTTGACTTCTAGATTACTGGCTATCACCTTCACAGGTTCCTTTTGTAAAAAGAACCCTTCTCAGAGGTTTTAACTTATGCCCCTCAAAAATTTAATGTTGGTATTTGTTGTACACTTTAAGCTAAATTTTTTTTTTTAAAAAAAAGAGATGCTTTGAAGACCTTGGGTTTCAGGAAGCGTTTGCAAACTCTCATTCATAAGAATTCTCACTCTATTAATTCTAAAATAAAGTTAATTAAGGATTTAGTTATTGTTAGGCCTGTGAAAGTAATTTTTTTTTTTTTTGGTTAAATATATTATAATTCTTTCTAAAGTCTTATATATCTCCTAATTAAGTTTCTTATAGATAGTGAAGTTGTCCAATGAACAATTTAGAAAACTGTACCCTGGTTATGGCACCAAATATTTTTCTAATAACGGAACTCTCATACTTTCTGACGGTGCAGCTTTTCTTTATTAAATATAGTTTTAACAATAATATTAGTTTAGCGGAGGTGATAGAATTTAATTACCACGCTAATTTTTACTTTTTCAGATTGTCCTGAGGAAGAATACGCTAAATATATAAGACCTCAGACTCCTAAATGGTTTCGCTCTGAATAAACACTTTTCTACTTCAGTTGACTAGAGAAAAATAAATTAATTAAAATATGAAAACTATTTTTCTAAGTAAGCTTAAAATAAGCCTAAATAAACCTTTTTTTTTACCCTTAAGTTAGCTTAAAATATTTAAGGAAGCACTTATTAAAGCCTTAGTAGAAATAAAATTGCGTTTTAACTAGCTATAGTATATATCTCCTTTATTCATATCTTTTAGGCTTTTTAGAGAAGACATAAAAATTAACTAAGGCAGTTCAGAAAAGTATGTATAACTATTTTTTATTAAAATAAAAGGTTATACATTGCCATTCAAAAAAGCAGATAGTGTCTTTTTCTAAGAGAAAAAAATTTGAAAAAAAAAAATTTTTTTTGTAGGACATATTAACACCTATTTAAAAATATCTTTATTTACAAGAACCGGGCCGGGTTTAGATATAATCTGAAACATGACTTCCTACTCTCTACTATGAGATAGAAGTTGTTCTTAGATCAAATTTGACGTAGTACTTATATTTAGTAGTAAACTGGTCCTCCATTGGGCCTCCTAGTGAAAAATAGGGTGGAATATTGCTAGTTATCGGTGTATAAAGTAAAAGGGAGCAGCTTTCAGTTATTTTTTTTAGACCCTAAAGTTCAAGTATAAATTCCTTTTTTTAAAATAATTTTATGTATAAAACAGTTGCGGTGTGGATCCCTCGTAAGCGTGTTATATGGTGAAACAGTAAAACATGTACTCGACAGCAACTTTTTAAAATCCTTTAAGACGGAAGGCACCTCTTTAAGATAGAATAGCCTTTATAAAACTATTAACATCTCAAGTAGTTTATAAACTTTTTTTTCTCATTTAATAAGTGCACATATAAACTTTATGACTTTTAGAATCCGAAACCGTGAAGCTACTTAAACTTTACAAATATTATGAAAACAAAAAAAGTTGGCTCTTTTTTAACATTTCTACTAAAAAGCTTGCTTAAAAAGAACAGTGCGCTATAGTTTTCCGCACAGAAAAGAGTAACGCGGTGGGCAATGTAACAAAACTATAAATTTAATTTCTTTACAGAATTGTTCACTCTCTTCTCGCGTAGTATATAAAATTATGGCGTTCTTTAAAGGTAGCGAATACTTTTTACTATTATTAATGAATAGTGCAGATGCTCGGTAATATCGAGCGCAGAACGCTTGACTTTGCAGATAACTTATATTATTAGGTTAGACCATTTCAGTTTCAGCAGGTCATAAACTTTCTACATACGTGCTAAAGGTATAACAAACTGTAATTGTGCGCTTAAAGCTCATCGTGAGCCTTTTCAGAGTTCATATGCAAGTTCTTGAATCAACTGGTGGTTTGGATGCCTACTAACAAGTTCAAAAGAAACTGAAGTTGCTTTCGGAAAAAGGGAGCAACTCGTCATGTAACGAACCGTTCCTCAAGGAAAAAGGTGCTCCGGTCATCGCAGAGCATGTTTTACTTTGACGGTTTGTCATATTTCCAAGCAATAGGTCATAATAGGGCGCACGCACGCGTACTTTAAAAAGGCGCAGTTTTTGTTGCGCAATGACATTGTTCTTTTAACACATAACAGCGGTAGAGTGCGTGAACTGCTGCTTTTACCTAAGTCGTAACGAAATTTACATGTTGCCTCCAAGTTAGTTGCTTATCGATAGAAACTCCCGAGTATTTGACCTGGGAGCCCCAGGGGATCTATACACCTTCGAGGGTTAGAGGTGGGGGATGCGTGATGCATCATCTTGAGAAGAAGATTGCATTACTCTTCTTCCATTAATATTTACCACACTGCCTACACCAGTTGGTAAATGTTTCCAGATAATTAAGCAGGCGTTGCCGTAATAATGGGGGCTCTTTAAAAACGCGTGAACCGCATTGTCTTCGGCATAGTATGCAACGCGGGTGTGAGGGTCCGCAGGGAGTGGGATATCTCGCATGTACAGGGCGAAGAGTTGGGGCGAGAGCAGAAATCCTTGCGGAATACTAGCTGTTAGTCGACGGTAAGGCGACAGCGTACTCCCAGCTCTCACTCGAAAGGTGCGACCGCATAGAAACGACGTAAGTATGCTATAGAGGGCTAACTTAGAACCTAGCGTGCCTAGTTTGCGTAGAAGATCTTCGAGCCGTACCTGGTCAAAGGCCTTTTTCAACATCGAGAAATAAGATACCCGTATAAGTTAAAGCTCCAAGCTGTCCGCGCCCCAAAGCGCAGTAGTTGTTGTGTTCTCGATGGGCTCTTTGGAATCCAAATTGGAATGCTGGAAGCACTGCATGTTTCTACAAACTCTTCAAGCCTGTGTAGTAGAGCCGCCTCCACGGTTTTGCCCACCGCTGAAAGAAGGTTAATGGAGCGATATTTGCAGGGGCCCGTTGAAGCCCGCGGAGTCTTAGGTAGACATCACGACAGTGACCGTTTTCCATAGCGGTGGGAAGGAGTCAAGCGAAACTGAAGAAGTTGCAAGACAGGAGAGATGGTTAATCGCAACCGATGGCAGCTTTTCCAGCATTTCGTTAGTAATACCGCCGAGGCCAGCTACATTCCGTTTTGAAAGTGAAGAAACTATATAAGTGATTCATCAGGTAAACGCGATTTAATAAGTCCATCAAAGATAATCGGGAGGTCCTGCGATGTCTTGCCTTTCTCCTTAAAAGTTAATCAGATTGGAGATATGCAGGAAGCAGAAGATGTTTGGCAAAGAGCACCGCTTTGTCCTCGTCGCTTTCCTCCACTATCACGCTATTATTAAGTGGCGGAGATGGTGTGTGGCAACGGTTAGCGAAAACTTGTAACGCTCGCCCAGTATATATACAAATGAGGACCATTCGGCTTATCTTAAGCTAACTCTAGAACCTTTGCAGAAGGTTTTTTTAACTCCTCATTAGAGCACATGCTACGATAAAGAACAATTTTTTAAAAATCTAAATTCTCGTAGTAAACTATAACCTGAAAGCTAGTAAATTTATACTCTGTATCCTTTCTCGTGAATAAGAGTTTAATTGTAGAGGTTTAAACATATTATTATATAATGCTTCTTCGCTACCTGCAGCTGGTGACTTCTATGCAAAACATTTCACATGAAACAAAAAAAATTGACTGCGCTAAGCGTTACAAAATTTTTTGGTTGTAGTTGGGCTGTCTGAACTCACGCATACCGTTATAAACATTAGAACCGCCAGTGTAATAAAAAAAAGTTACCAAAAAATAACTAATATTTTAAATTTTACAATATCACAAAAATTATGTTTTTATAAATACTATTAAATACCAATGTATATGTGATGCAAATTAATAATAAAGGTAACCCCTATTT